ACGGCGCGCACAGCGCAGCACGTCACATGCACAGTCACAGTCACTGTCGTGGGGTAGCAGTAGGTGGGCCCGAAAAAAACGGTCCTACGGAGCTACTGCTCTCAAACCATGTTAGAATCTAGAGACAAGAACGAATGCACTATGGAAGTTTTGGGTACAAGTATGAAACCCTAAACGGGGCTATACCCCATATTGGCTACCCCACTACAGCCTACACATATATAACATGGATATACTTTGACAACAATCACAGCAGTACCCCTACCAGAGCAACTCAATCACCTCTAGCCAAGCTCAAAACAGTAGCCACCCCTCTGTGTGAGACTGTAGAAGCACCACGTTCAGAATAGGTCTACAGACCAAACTAAATCAAGCTTCTGTGGCCCCCACGCGGTCAAACGCCTCTGGTGTTGTTCTTTGTGCACGAACATCCCATAAAAGCTGCACATATTGACATCAACGGCACATAAAAGCTGCACATATTGACATGAAGGGCACATAAAAGCTGCACATATTGACATAAACGACACATAAAAGCTACACATATTGACATGAACGGCACATAAAAGCTGCACATATTGACAGAAACGGCACATAAAAGCTGCACATATTGACATGAACGGCACATAAAAGCTGCACATATTGACATAAACGGCACATAAAAGCTGCACATATTGACATAAACGGCACATAAAAGCTGCACATATTGACATGAACGCACATAAAAGCTGCACATATTGATAGAACGCACATAAAAGCTGCACATATTGACATAAACGGCACATAAAAGCTGGACATATTGACATAAAGGGCACATAAAAGCTGCACATATTGACATGAACGGCACATAAAAGCTGCACATATTGACATGAACGACCCTCGTTCACGCTGCTTGCAAAGTTGCAGATGTCGACATAATATCAATTTTATGCAGTTACATAACAAAGGTGCTCATTTATGGTGGACGAATCCTTGGGTGCTTCATCGTGCTTGCATGCCAAGATTCCACCTTTGAAAATTCTCTACTGCGATACATGCTTTGCCCGCCAGCCAAGATGTGGAATGCAAGCAGCGAATGACGAGAACATAAGAGCGTACATGTGTGGACGCAAGGACTCATGGATGAATGAATGCAAGGATTCATGGATGGATGGACACACGCATTTATTCGTAGATGTGTGGATGCATAAAAGCATGGACACATGAATGCATGCATGCATGCATGCATGCACGGGTGCATGCATGCATGCATGGATGCATGGGTGCATGTATTCATGCAAACCACACTGCTTATGATTCATACTGCCAAGGAACAATATTACCGCAGTAGCAGCACCATGCGCAGCAGAGGCAGCAGTGGTCCAGCTTCAGGCACAGGGATGAGCGCAAGCGTTACCAACAAGAAAAGCTTCATCAGATATTGTGATTACACCAGACACAGTAGCTACAGCTGCTTCAGAGGCAACATCTGCTACAGTAACTACAGCTGTTACAGTGGCTACATATGTTAAGAACATAGCTTAGGCTAAAAAGCCATGGCTAGGATTTAGGGTAGAACAAGGAGATAACGCGAAGGTCGCCAAAGCAAAGAGGTTGCACTATAGAACTTGGTACAAGTTATAGGCAAGCATGAGGGTGCACCACCACACAAGAACATAGAACTATACTAAGTCTACACTACAGGCAGTTACAGAATAATGTATACAATTACATTTCAACAACATATGCTACAGTTGCTACAACAGCTGCAGATGCTACAGCTGCTATTGATTCGACAGAGGTTTACAACTTATTCAGCTGATGCAGCAGCTGGGGATGCTAGAGAAGCACCAGCCACAGCTGCTGCTGCTGCTGCAAGAGCATGGAACGAACCAGCCACAGGAGCAGCATGGAACCGCAGTTGCTGTGCAAGCATCAGAAGCAGTAATACTGGCCTCCGCAATCTCATGCGCTACTGCTGATGTCGCAGGATTGCTAGAGCAACTATTGGCAACAGCCAGAGAATCAGTGGCTGGAACAGCATCAACAACAACAATGTGCTTTGAGTTGACTCAAAACACACGCGGACCAGGACCACCACAAGAGGCAACCACAACAGCGTGGCGTGTGATGCGCTGTTGATTTGGTGGTATCTATCAGCAGCATGTGACTGTCATGCGTGCTGCTGTTCCTAGATTGGATATATATTTCCGTGTACACCAGGGCTTCGTTTTGGATTTGGCTAACTCACGATTGGCAGTGTAGCTTTTTTAAAAACCCTTCTGAGTAGTATGAACTTTTTCATTACACTGCCAGAGCAGTGTAACATATCCGTTTTGAAATTTTACCCTGCAACTCCAGTGTGAGATTTTTCCGTACACTGCCACAGAGCGCCACGGTCGGGGACCGTGGTTTGCATCTCCAAGCACCGACAATCTGAATGTGGTCCCACTCCCAGGACTTAGTTCAGGCAGCAATACTGTACCGGTAGTTGCTGCCAATGTGGGATTGCGTGTCGTGCTGGCAAGGGAATTATTCCTAACTGACCAATCGGACACATGACAGCAGCCAACGCAAGTACGGGGGGGAGGGGAAGGGGTGCTCTGTACGCACTTCAGTGTAATCTACGATAAGTAAAAAATTACCCCAAGGCATCAGAGTGGCCTAGAACGATACACTTACAGATCAGTGTAACACTAACTCATAAAAAAATTACCCCAGCACATCAGTGTAGACCCAAAATTTCACCCTTGTAATCAGTGTAGAAGGGTAAATTACACTGCAAACCTGAGCCCTGGTGTACACTTTAAAATGTGAGATTTATAGTTCTGAAAGGAAGGTTCTTACAAAGAACTCTCATATTGCAGAAGACAGGCCCCACGTTATCAGGGCAAAACATCCTGATTACCCTGAATTCAGGATGCAGTTTTGAATATACCCTGTCATTTCAGAATAGTGTAAATTTTTACCCTGAGGTCTCAGGATGTTGTTATATGAAATGCCCTGAACATTCAGAATGGCTGTATTGTTCTTCAATGTAGCGTCAGGATGAATGCAGAGGCCTGCCCTGACGCGTTTTTTGTTAGGGGTGGGGGGGGAGTCCCGTACCTGGGGAAATTTTCCGCGGGGATTTTTGTATCCGTAGGCAACAGATCATTGCAAATTCATTCATCCATTCAACCATGAAGAAGTGGCCTAGTCAGTAGAAAGGTACTTTCGACAGACGAAGTCCTGTGATCGAACCTACCCCCGTGTAGGCGTGTTCATTGTTCAACTTTAACTCTATCAACCAACCAATCTGAACCCTGAACACAGGGTTTTTTGCCCTGACAGGTCAGGATTGATTTCTGAAAAAGCCCTGAACATACAGGAAGGCTTCAAAAATTTGCCCTGACAAATCAGGGCATTTTTTACGATTCTGGAAAGGTGCCCTGAGGCCTCAGGGTGCCCCAAGTCCTAGCACGGGCCCTGGCAGAAGACAGGCCACTTATGTACCTGCCTGTGTTGTTTCAGCCACTGAGCAGCTTGTAAGGCATGGCTTGTACTCAGAGTGTATTCCTAACCTCGTATCAAGCGAACCTCATATCAGGCTCACACTAAAAATTTCCCTAAACCCGAAACCTCTCGCCACTGTTGGCTTGTAAAGCATGCTGGCCCGGAGTGTCTTCGTTGTGTTTTGACTCAAATGCTGGCTTGAAAATATGATATGTTGTCCAGCTGTGACACAACATGAGTTTGACTTGAAATAGGGTGAATTGGAATGAAAGAAATCTGCTCGTACCGGATCAATCAAGAATGGGTTAAGTGTTTTTTATCAAAGAACCGTATCGATTCAAAGGTAGTCCATGGATTATTTGCAATGCAAGAAAGGCCTGAAGAAGCAGCCACAGCTTTCCCAAGCTGTACCCACTACGAAACGAAACACCTCCCTTATCTGATGTTGCTATCGAGTTTCGCTTGCACTAGAGCCCTCTGACGTTCTTCAGGAATTTCAGCACCCTAACAGCAGCTGCCACAGCTGCTCGTTTCTCTGGCTCTGTCAGTCTCAAGCTGTCCCCATGACGAAACACCTCCCTAACATTGCTAACGAGTTTTGCTTGTAGTGGATCGTTAAATAACCGTTGGGATTCACTGTAAGACTCATTCATAGCCCTATCACTAGCCGGACCAGCCCTTGTGGTCCTGCTTTTGCCCATCACACCCAGGCCTTCCTTGGGATAAAACCCACCACTGGTGGATTTGGGGGGATGGACTTGGAGGGAGATGGAGGGAGAGGAGGCCGAGAGACCAGCAGGAGAACCAGATGCTTGTGGGTTTGTCTCCGGATTCGCTGTACATGCCTTGATCGCCCTCAACAACTGGTGGTAGTACACTGTAGGGCTGGTGGCAGCATCCTCGTTATGTGCGTCTGCATTAGAAGCAACAATGAAGATCATGCGAGTGGTGTAAGAGATGTGAGTGATGATGATGATGCACGCTGTGCAAGTAAAGCAGAGTGTACAGCAAGCAACGGATTGTGCATGCATGGGTGGGTTGATAGAGTAGAAACACAGATGGTATGATTGGTGGAATGTCGAGGCTGGTTGTGGCAAGGCATGATGCATCACTGCATGACGTAACACGATTTACCATGTCATCACATAACATTGCATGGCATGGCATGCTATCGCATGGGTATGGCATGGAAGGCAAGGCGAGCCTTTGCAAAAGCATACAAGGTGATAGAAGAGCCTTACTGTGCGAGCGGGAGGGGGTGACAGAGAGAGATCCCATCGGCCAGGCGCTACAAGGGGCGAGGGAAGATGGGCGAGACAAGAAGAGGGGGGCAGGGGGGAAGACAGGTGGGGAAGGGGCAGAGGAGAGGGGGCAGGCCAAGACAGGTGGGAAGCGGAAAGGGCAGCGGAGCAGAGACGGGGGGGAGGGGAACGGGGAAGCAAGGTTGGTGGAAATTCTTGAGATGAACGGAGCATCATCACCTGGTGAGGATCCAGAAGGAGAGTGCGAGGGTGATGGTCAGTCAGTCAGTGCCCTCCTGCCACTTGCTCCTCTGGGTTCAGCTTTCGACGCATGAGCCCTTTAAAGAAGTCCAAGCTGGTGAGTGGGGGGGAGGGGGGGAGGTGTGAGGGTGATGCAGATTGGAGTGTGATGCAAGGAGTCAGTTTTTGGCGCAAGGAGTGTGGGAGGGCAGTGACGATCTCCTCTGGAGTCAGCTTTTGGCGCATGAGGCTGCTGGGAAAGTCGAGGCTGGAGAGTGGAAAGAGAGAGAAAGGCGACGGCGATGCAAACGAAGGGTGGAGAGAAGCAATGCACGCATGCACAGCCGATCAAAACGGAGGTCAAAGCGGAAGGAGGGGAAGGACGAAAAGGGGGCAACGGTTTGAAACGAAGGCAGCAATATCAAGTCATTTGACGCGCATCTTCATTGCCACTAACCTGTTGCCACTAACCTGTTGCCACTAACCTGTTGCCACTAACCTGTTGCCACTAACCTGTTGCCACTAACCTGTCGCCACTAACCTGTTGCCATCAGGGGAAAGCTCGTACTGTATCCCTGAAGGATCAGTGGCGAGGAGGTAACCACCCGTAGTGAGACCCTGAGGGGGGAGGAGGCAACGGGAAAGCAGTAAGGGGAGGGACGAGGCAAGGGGAGAGGGGGAGGGGGAAAGAGGCGTGGGGAGTGGCAAGGGGAGAGACAATGGGAGAGATGAGGGGGAGGAAGTGTGGATTAAGGTTGTACAAAAAGTTGGTGGACGGAAGTTGCTTGTGTATACGCATGTACACCCATGCGTGTGTGCATGTGTGTGTGTGCACGCACACGCATGCATGTGTGTGCCTGCGTGCATGCGTGTGTGTGTGTGTGTGTGTGTGAGAGAGAGAGAGAGAGAGAGAGAGAGAGAGAGAGAGAGAGTGTGTGTGAGTGTGAGTGTGTGAGTGTGTGTGTGTGCATGTGCATGTGAGTGTGTGTGTGTGTGTGTGTGTGTGTGTGTGTGTGTGTGTGTGTGTGTGTGTGTGTGTGTGTGTGCATGTCTGATGTGTGATGAGAAAACGAGCAAGTATCAGTGTGCACATGGATAGGAGAGTGCAGGGAAAAGGTAATGCAGAAGTGGGTATGGGAAAAGGGGAAAGAGGTCACGGGGCAAGGAAGCAGGGGGAAGGGAGGAGAACAGGAGGAGCATGAAATTAAAGCACAAGAAAACACAGGGACATGAGAGGGCTGGAAAGGATTCATGAATCTGAAATGAAATCACACCTGAATCCACACCTGAATCCACACCTGAACCCACATCTGAACCCACATATATGAACCCCCCACTTGAACTCCCACCCGAAACCCCACTTCCCACCCCCCCCCCCCCTTTTCCCCCCACAACTTGAAAATCCGAGGTGAATTTGAACACCTGAAACCGCACCTGAATGGTGAGGGAAACCTGAATGGTGAGGGAGACCTGAATGGTGAGGGAGACCTGAATGGTGAGGGAGACCTGAATGGTGAGGGAGACCTGGGTGACGCTGCCGCCCTCCTTAGCCTCCTCCAGCACCACGTGCTGGCCACTACGGAGGGGTCACGGGGGGGCGGAGGGAAAGGGGGTGAGCGAGCGCAGGGGGGGCGAGGGCAGAGGGGGGGAGGGCAGGGGGGACGAGGGCAGGGGGGGGAGGACAGGGGGGACGAGGGCAGGGGGGGGAGGGCAGGGGGGACGAGGGGAGGGGGGACGAGGGCAGGGGGGGGAGGGGCAGGGGAGACGAGGGTAGGGGGGCCGAGGGCAGGGAAGGGGGAGATGGCACGAAGGACGGAGGGGGTAAAGGAAAAGCAGAGAGGCGGGGAAGGGTTGGGGAGATAAGATAAAGAAGGGATAGATAGGATAACGGAGGGAGTTGCAGCGGAAATTCGAAGAGCATTCACGCAGAAGGCTATCGGAATGGAAACAAGAGAATTGTCAGAAACGACACAAGCATTAGAAATGCACGCGGCACGCCGGGAGAAAAGGAAGAGTAGGTGGGGGGGAGCGGCGGGGAGCAGGGGGAGAGGGGGAAGGGAGGGGAGGAAGAGAGGGAGGGGAGGAGTGAGAGATGACAGCAGAAAGAGCGGAGGGAGGTGGGGAGGTGGGGGAAAGCAATGGAAAGGGGGCGAATGCACAAGGTACCTGTGCAGCCAGCGTTGGAGATAATCCGCTTCCAGAGGCTTAAAGCCTGGTGGGGGGAAGAGGGAGAGGGCAGAGGGGGGTTAGGAGGCAGGCAGGGAGAGAGTTAAGGGGCAGGGAGGGAGGCACGGCGGGAGGGAAGGAGGGGGGGAGGGAGGGAGGGAGGGAGGGAGGGAGGGAGGGAGGGAGGGAGGGAGGGAGGGAGGGAGGGAGGGAGGGAGGGAGGGAGGGAGGGAGGGAGGGAGGGAGGGAGGGAGGGAGGGAGGGAGCGAGGGAGGGAGGGAGAAGGGAGGGAGGGAGGGAGGGAGGGAGGGAGGGAGGGAGGGAGGGAGGGAGGGAGGGAGGGAGGGAGGGAGGGAGGGAGGGAGGGAGGGAGGGAGGGAGGCAATGAATAACCGCCACCTCAAAAGGCAGCATAGCATCATGGGGGAGGGGCGATTTCAGAAGCGCCCCAAAGGGCCCACAAGTTGGCTCTTGAGAATTCAAAAAAAAAAAAAAAAAAAAAAACACAACGGCAGAGCATCGTGGCTGACAGGCCATTCCGAAGAGACTAAAGAGGCTCAACCCCCTCTTTCCCCCATTTCCTTCCCCACCCACCTTGCTGTTCAAAGACGGAGAGCAGCGAGTGCAGGCGGTTGAGCAGAGCGGCCAGCAGCGCCTCGTGAAAGACAGGCTACTCCTGAGGCACCTCAAAAGCCCCATCACACCCCACCTCACTCCACCCTTTCCCACCCTCCCATCCCCCCTTCCCGCACCCCCTCGTCCCCCATCCCACCTTGCTGTTCAAAGACGGAGAGCAGCGAGTGCAGGCGGTTGAGCAGAGCGGCCAGCAGCGCCTCGTGGGAGACAGGCGCGGCGGAGGGGCAGGCGGCTTGCAGGGCGGCGTTGATGCACGTGGTGGGATGGGCGTTGTTCACATTCAGACCTATGCCTGGTGTAACATGGGGGAGGAGGTGATGGTAGAGGGGAGGGCGGAACAAGGGGCGGAGGGGCAGGCAGCAGCCAGAGCAGCGTTGATGCACGTGGTGGGGTGGGCGTTTTCCACGTCCAGTCCTATGCCTTTGGCAGGTTGTGAAACAGGGGGGAAAGAGGTGGGAGGGGGACGAGACGGGAGGGAGGAACAAGGAGCGGAGGGGCAGGTGATTGCTTGCAGGGCGACGTTGATGCACGTGGTGGGATGTGCATTGTCCACACTTAGATTAAACCTATGCCTGGTGGAGCATTGAGAGGGGTAGGGAGGAATGGGAGGGATCGAGTGGGGGAAAAAGACTCTTGAGTTGACTCAAACATCGTCATGTCATGTCATCCCCAAGGGTTTGCTGTCCCATTGTCATGTAATCTGATGGAGGACCCATTGTCTCTACAAACAACCCTCTCACTGCGACAAATCAAGAACCCCTCACTCTCATTCATCCACTCTTACTCACACAATCACCCATTCACTTTCCCACTCACTCACCCATTCACTTTCCCACTCACTCACCCATTCACTTTCCCACTCACTCACCCATTCACTTTCCCACTCACTCACCCACTCAATCCCTCACTATCTCACTCCACTCACCCACAGTGACGTCAAACGCTCTGTTGCGGTAGGATGACGTGCAGAGCACGCCACCCACCTTCAGCCCGCCCAGAAAGATGTCGTTGGGCCACTTGAGGGCTACCTGCGGGAGGGAGGTCTGTTGAGACAGAGGAGGGGCAGACAGAGGGAAGGAGGGTAAGAGGATAAACTTGAATTTGTTCGGCTCGGGCCACTTGAGCAGCAGCAGCAGCGGCGGCAACGGCAGGAGCAGAAGCAGCGGCGGCGACGGTAGGAGCAGTAGCAGCAACGGCGGCGGCGGCAGCAGCAGCAGCAGCAGCAGCAGCAGCAGCAGTGGCGGCGGCAGGGGCGACAGCGGCGGCAGTCACCTACCCCTCTCTCCTTGGCCATGTCTTCAATAGCTTGCACCACTGCCAGCGACAGCACATACTGCAGCAGTGGCAGCGTGCGGCCGTCAACCCAGCGCAGCGAGAGCGAGAACATGAGGCAACCCTCTGGGCTATCCCACGTGTTGCCCCCGCGGCCTGCCACGTGGCGGGCAGTCAGAGAGCGATAACAAGCAGGGAAGAGGGGGGGATGGGTGGGAAGGGGGAAGGGGGGAGGATGAAGCAGCCAACAGAAAGATGGACAAGCACTTTAGCATGTAACAGTAGATGGGGCATAGCAGAAGAAAGGAGCGGCGAGAGGTAGGAGAAATTCAACGTGAAAATGAATGGAGGGGCACGAGGCAAGTGGAAGAACGGGAACGGAGAAGGGGGAGGGGCAGATATGGGGAGCGAGACCGGGAGGAAGAGGAAGAGTATGAGGGAAAGTAGGATGAGGGAAGTACTTTGTCCGCTGTACTGAATGCGAGAGAGAGATGCAGACGGTGCCTACAGGTAGGGTTGAAAAGCTTTTGAGGCGTCTCAAAATAGAAGAGGACGAATACGAGGGAGGGTGAAGTAAGAGAAATACCTCGTCCGCTGTACTGAATGCGAGAGATGCAGACGGTGCCTATGGGGAGGGTTTCAAAGCTCCTGCAAGGAAAAACCAGCATCAAAGCATCATCCATTCATGCGTGCATGCATGCATGCATGCATGCATGCAGCACATGGCGCATGAAAGCATTGTGCATCATGACATGCATGCTTCATATAATGCATGCTTCAACAAAGTGCAACCCATGACATCCACGCATCAACGCAGCACAGCACATGCCATGCATGCATGCAGCACAGCACAACACATGACACCATGTGCCAATCACCAGCATGCAGCACAGCAGCACGGTAGCACACGCCTTGAGAAGAATGAGCAATAGCACATACACTCCCTTGTCACATGAGGCGTTCTCCCTCGGAGGGAGTCCCTAGTCCAACACAGCATGAACACAAGCACACAGTGCAAGCATCCACCATACCAGACATTCCCACATTCCCTTCACTCTCTCCCCATTCTTTCACCCTACCCTCCCCTCCCCGTGTCCGGTCCTAGCCTACTCTTGCTGTTTACTTTGATACAAGAGTGTGAGTTGACGAAAGTCGTTTGCTGGCCAGCAACGTCCGTCCAAGTCCGTCAGTCGAAAGAGCACTGAAGAACTTATCCACGTCAAATCCGACTACATCCTTGGCGGAGGAAACCTCAGCGTCGTTTCTCAGCACCACGCCGCCGTTGTCCTCGGCAAGCTTTATCCCCGATAGAAGGCTTTTCGAATCGCCAGATCCCTTAACGAACACGTACACCTCGTCCTCTGTCGACATCCTCCAAGGCAACGGCTCCGCGATTTCTGAAGTTCCTGACGGAGCTGTTGCAGAAATACCACCGTCGTTCGCGGCGGAGCGCTCTAACTGATACTTCGGTCGCGTGGACGCTTTACGTGCATACTCCGCGCCAGACGTTCGTTGCGACAGATTCTGCGAAACCGCACAGGCTCGGAATTTCGAAGAAACTGCCGGATTCGAGTAAGAGGCTGATTCCGAAAAAACGGCCAGAGAACCGTATCCTCGAGAGTTATTAGATCTGACGGTCCGGAAGTTCCCTTGCGATCCCTGTTCACGATAGCTATGGTCGGTCGAATCGCGAAGAGCAGCTGGTAACCTTATGTTACTAACCGATGGAATTACGGCATCGGCGGGGCCGCTAAGGGAGGGACAGTACGGCAGAATAGAACCAATGTGAGAGAGAGCGGAGGGACGTGCGATGGGTTGGAGCGTGAAGCGTAGAATGCGGAAGACTGGGCTCGACAGAGCGACACGTGATAGTGAAAGGAGCCTTAGAGGCAATAAGAGGCTAAGGGACATACCTACAAGAACACCCCTGCAACACAAATCAGTGTAGGTGCATGCTACCTTACTAGTAGCTTGATACTAACCTAATACTAGTAGGCCTTGATACTAACCTACTAGTACTAGTAACTTGATACCGACAAGTCTCAGTGTGCTATACAATACGGATACAGACACGGAAGAGGGTTATCATGGTAAAAGGAGGAGGTGAAGGATTCTGATGTCTAACAGTAATAACTGACATGGCGTAACCCTAGTCTGCTGAGGAAGGAGGAGCGAGGCCAAGGGATGAGGGAGCAAGGTCTTCGAGAAAAGCTGCGCTGTCAATTTGGCGATTCAATTATCTGGACGAACTCAATCGACACTGGTTACCATAATGTTTTTCCAAGACTTCCCAAGGAAACGAGCATTCTGGAACCTCGGCGAACCGATGCGTCGTTTTTTTGCGTAACTTTGGGAACTCGTGTGGTGTTTCCCGATCATCACAGCGCCGTACAGTAGCGACGTTCCCATCTGCAAGTTGCTTCTTGTTCTCATCATTCCATCCCATCAACTCATCCGTGACAGCGGGTGAGTCCGAAACTAGGTAAAGTAAATCGGTTTCTTGTTATTCGAGTCACTACTACCTGTTTACGTCAAATTTTGCTTTTGAACGCAACCATCTCTCTGTGAGAACGAGTCAAGCATCGCTAGGTTTGCTTTTCCAATCCCCAGATAGCAAGCTCTTCAATTCTTGTTGTCTCCTCATTTAGTCTTACTTGCGAAACAGACCTGGACGCTTGTTGGAGAATTTTCACGCAGCGAGCCCGCTCCCGACGGCGTCCGTCGCTTCATTTCCCCGCGTTCACTTCGTCGCACACCCGCTCGTCGCCTGTCGCCTGTCGCCTGTCGCCATGGACGTCGAGAGGCTTTTGTTTGCGGGAACGAGCATCAACAGAAAGCGCTTCAAAAAGGATATTGACGTTTTCAAGGTGCTCCTCGTTACAGTAGTAGCTGTGCTCGTATCACTTTCGCGGATTCTCAATATTCTTAGAAGCTCAAGAGCTTTAGCCGTTATCCCTCTAGAAACCCTTTGTGTACTGGTCGCATTGCGTCAGCGGAAAAGCGAGTCACACGAAGGGTTTCGGGCTTTACCATACGGGGTTTTGGGGTTTACCCGGTTTCCTCTGCTGAGTTTTTTCTTACCTATTTCTGTTTTCTGTGCTTCCTTCTCCTCCATTTCTTGCAGGTGCGTGAGCAGACGACAACAGCAGGAGCAGAAGCTTCTCAAACAGAGATTGACGGTTCAGATCGACTGGATGGTGGAGCGTCCGGCGCGTCTGGAGGAGAGGCATCAGAGAAGAAGATGGACCCTGTTGAGGTGAGCAATCTGTTTTTCAGGCCGCTTCCCTAAAATCTAGAAATAGACCTGTTGAGGTGAGCAATCTGTTTTTCAGGCCGCTTCCCTAAAATCTAGAAATAGACCTGTTGAGGTGAGCAATCTCTTTTTCAGGCCGCTTCCCTAAAATCTAGAAATAGACCTGTTGAGGTGAGCAATCTGTTTTTCAGGTCGCTTCCCTAAAATCTAGAAATAGACCTGTTGAGGTGAGCAATTTGTTTTTCAGGCCGCTTCCCTAAAATCTAGAAATAGACCTGTTGAGGTGAGCAATCTGTTTTTCAGGCCGCTTCCCTAAAATCTAGAAATAGACCTGTTAAGGTGAGCACCGCTTGTAGCTTCTCAACCCATCATCATGTTCTGTTCGAGAGGTTTTGGGTCTCAATGTCCCACACGACTTCCATGAGGCTCTCATGCTTATTCCCAAGATTCAATGTTTTTCGCTTCTTTCCCTTTCACCTCCCCTTTCCCCCGCCACGTGGCAGCATGCAGCAGTGCTGCGCAAGCGCCATCGCATCCACGTGTCCAGCCACCTGGTGACGGCTCCCCTCGAATCCTTCCAAGAACTGGCCGACAAGTGAGTGGTTTGCGGTCAAGTGAGTGGGTGGGTGCCTGTTAGAGGAGTGGGTGGTTGTGACTCTGATTAGGCGGTGCTGCTGCTAATGTTGTTTTTCAAGTTCTGACATGTCTCAGAACCCAACTCTCACCATTCCATCCCACCCCATCCCATCCCATTCCTTCCTATCCCACCCCACCCATCCCACTCACCAGGTACAACTGTCGGCGGCGCATACTGCGCAATCTGCAGGAGATGGGCTTTGAGCACCCCACGCCAATCCAGAGGCAGGCAGTGCCGCTGCTGCTGCAGGGGCGGGAGTGCTTCGCCTGTGCGCCCACGGGCTCCGGCAAGACCGTTGCTTTCCTGCTTCCCGTTGTCATGGCCCTTAAGGTGAGCTTGTGGGCTCCAGGTGAGCTCGTGGGCTCATGCTGGTTGCTTTTTAGGTCGCCCATACCCCCCACGGCCATCCCAAGGCAGGCGGTGCCGCTGCTGCTGCAGGGCCGGGAGAGCTTTGCCTGTGCGGCCGCAGGGTCCGGCAAGACTGTTGCCTTCCTGCTACTCATCGGCATGTGTGGAACTTTATACCATCGGAGCAATCGGGGCTCCGTTGATGCAGTCGGAAGTGTGATCCTGGTTCATGATGACTGAGGCGCCTCAAACTTTTGAACCGAGACGACTTTTGAGGCGCCTCAAACTTTTTAACTGGGACGACTTTTGAGGCGCCTCAAACTTTTGAACTGGGACGACTTTTGAGGCGCCTCAAACTTTTGAACTGAGACGACTTTTGAGGCGCCTCAAACTTTTGAACTGAGACGACTTTTGAGACGCCTCAAACTTTTGAACTGGGACGACTTTTGAGGCGCCTCAAACTTTTGAACTGAGACGACTTTTGAGGCGCCTCAAACTTTTGAACTGAGACGACTTTTGAGACGCCTCAACCTTTGAACTGGGACGACTTTTGAGGCGCCTCAAACTTTTGAACTGAGACGACTTTTGAGGCGCCTCAAACTTTTGAGCTCAGACGACTTTTGAGGCGCCTCAAACTTTTGAACTGGGATGACTTTTGAGGCGCCTCAAACTTTTGAACTGGGACGACTTTTGAGGCGCCTCAAACTTTTGAACTAAGACGACTTTTGAGGTGCCTCAAACTTTTGAACTGAGACGACTTTTGAGACGCCTCAAACTTTTGAACTAAGACGACTTTTGAGGCGCCTCAAACTTTTGAACTGGGACGTCTTTTGAGGCGCCTCAAACTTTTGAACTGGGACGACTTTTGAGGCGCCTCAAACTTTTGAACTGAGACGACTTTTGAGGCGCCTCAAACTTTTGAACTGAGACGACTTTTGAGGCGCCTCAAACTTTTGATCTGAGACGACCTTTGAGGCGCCTCAAACTTTTGAACTGAGACGACTTTTGAGGCGCCTCAAACTTTTGAACTGGGACGACTTTTGAGGCGCCTCAAACTTTTTGAACTGGGACGACTTTTGAGGCGCCTCAAACTTTTGAACTGAGACGACTTTTGAGGCGCCTCAAACTTTTGAACTGAGACGACTTTTGAGACGCCTCAAACTTTTGAACTGGGATGACTTTTGAGGCGCCTCAAACTTTTGAACTGAGACGACTTTTGAGGCGCCTCAAACTTTTGAACTGAGGCGACTTTTGAGACGCCTCAACCTTTGAACTGGGACGACTTTTGAGGCGCCTCAAACTTTTGAACTGAGACGACTTTTGAGGCGCCTCAAACTTTTGAACTGAGACGACTTTTGAGGCGCCTCAAACTTTTGAACTGGGACGACTTTTGAGGCGCCTCAAACTTTTGAACTGGGACGTCTTTTGAGGCGCCTCAAACTTTTGAACTAAGACGACTTTTGAGGCGCCTCAAACTTTTGAACTGAGACGACTTTTGAGACGCCTCAAACTTTTGAACTGGGACGACTTTTGAGGCGCCTCAAACTTTTGAACTGAGACGACTTTTGAGGGGCTCAAACTTTTGAACTGAGACGACTTTTAAAAAGGCCTCAACTTTTGAACTGGGACGACTTTTGAGGCGCCTCAAACTTTTGAGCTGAGACGACTTTTGAGGCGCCTCAAACTTTTGAACTGGGACGACTTTTGAGGCGCCTCAAACTTTTGAACTGGGACGACTTTTGAGGCGCCTCAAACTTTTGAGCTGAGACGACTTTTGAGGCGCCTCAAACTTTTGAACTGAGACGACTTTTGAGGCGCCTCAAACTTTTGAACTGAGACGACTTTTGAGGCGCCTCAAACTTTTGAACTGAGACGACTTTTGAGGCGCCTCAAACTTTTGAACTGGGACGACTTTTGAGGCGCCTCAAACTTTTGAACTGGGACGACTTTTGAGGCGCCTCAAACTTTTGAGCTGAGACGACTTTTGAGGCGCCTCAAACTTTTGAACTGAGACGACTTTTGAGGCGCCTCAAACTTTTGAACTGAGACGACTTTCGAGGCGCCTCAAACTTTTGAACTGAGACGACTTTTGAGGCGCCTCAAACTTTTGAACTGAGACGACTTTAGAGGCGCCTCAAACTTTTGAACTGGGACGACTTTTGAGGCGCCTCAAACTTTTGAACTGAGACGACTTTTGAGGCGCCTCAAACTTTTGAACTGAGACGACTTTTGAGGCGCCTCAAAAGTCGGGGCTCCGTTGATGATGTAGTCGGAAGTGTGATCCTCGTGCCGACACGCAAGCTGGCGTGGCGCTGCAGATGTCACGATCGTTGAGCCTTCTGTTGAGACTTTTGAGGATTCTCAAAAGTCACTCGAATAACGCAAGCTGGCGTGGCGCTGCAGATGTCACGATCGTTGAGCCTTCTGTTGAGACTTTTGAGGATTCTCAAAAGTCACTCGAATAACGCAAGCTGGCGTGGCGCTGCAGATGTCACGATCGTTGAGCCTTCTGTTGAGACGTCTCCTTCCTGCCTTTCCCCCCTCCACCCCCACTGCCAGTGCCACTCCCCAGACGCCATCAGAGCAGTAATTCTCGTGCCAACACGCGAGCTCGCGCTTCAGATATTGCTGGCGTTTCGGTCTTCAGAAGTTTTACTTTCAACCCTTCTCATCTCTATCTATCTCCTCATCCTCTTCCTCCCCACCCCCTCCGCCAGTCACACTCCCCTGAAGCCATCACAGCAGTGATTCTCGTGCCGACTCGGGAACTGGCCCTTCAGATATCACGGGCGCTGAGCCGCTGAGTCACCTCCTTCCTGCTCCCCTGTTCCCCTCCAACTTCCCTGCCAGTCCCACTCACACGACGCCATCAGAGCAGTGATTCTCGTGCCGACACGCGAGCTGGCGCTGCAGATATCGCGGGCGCTGAAGCAGCTGGCAGCAGGCACGAAGCTGAGAGCGCGGCTGCTGACCAAAGCCACTGCCACAGGTTCCGACAGACACAGGAACCGTCGCTGCGGATATCACGGGCGCTGAGCCTCTGAGACGCCTCCTTCCTGCTTTCCCTGTTCCCCTCCAATTTCCCCGCCAGTCCCACTCACCCGACGCCATCAGAGCAGTGATTCTCGTGCCGACACGCGAGCTGGCATCACAGATACCACAGGCGCTGAGCTGAAGCAGCTGGAAGCGGGCACGGAGCTGAGATCACGGCTGCTGACCAAAGCCACTGCCACAGGCTCCGCATGTGGCTCCGGCACGAACTGAGCGGGCACAGGAATTGTCGCTGCAGATATCGTGCGCGCTGAGCCTCTGAGACGTTTTTAGAGGCGCCTAAAAAATCGTCTCAGTTCACGGGGATTTTTTTTAGGTGCCTGAAAAATCGTTCCGACACAGAAAGTGTCGCTGCAGATATCGTGCGCGCTGAGCCTCTGAGACGCCTCCTTCCTGCTTCCCTGTTCCCCTCCATCTTCCCCGCCAGTCCCACTCACCCGACGCCATCAGAGCAGTGATTCTCGTGCCGACTCGCGAGCTGGCGCTGCAGATATCGCGCGCGCTGAAGCAGCTGGCAGCAGGCACGAAGCTGAGAGCGCGGCTGCTGACCAAAGCCACTGCCAGCTGTGTGGAGCTCAAAGGGGCGGCATGCGATGTCCTCATCTCCACTCCCCTCCGGCTGGCCCACCTGGTGGCTGAAAAGAAAGTTGACCTGAGCCGGTGAGTAGGTGTTACTGCGTGTGAGTGGGTATGGTGCGGTGCGGTGCTGAGAGCGCGAGGCTGAGGGCGCGTCAGCTGACCAAGGCCACTGCAGGCTGTGTGGAGCTCAAAGGGGCGGCCTGCGATGTCCTCATCTCCACTCCCCTGAGGCTGGCGCACCTGGTGACTGAGGGGACGGTCGATTTGAGCTGGTGAGTGAGTGTAATTTGTTTTTTGCTGTTGGCGCTCCTCAGAAGAATGCTTGAATCCAGAGAACCCCAAACCCAAAACCCTCGCCTTTCCAGCTTCCACTTACCACTCGTGTGACTCATGAGAATTCTCAAAAGTCACACGAATATAGCCTTTCCAGCTTCCACTTACCACCTGGCACGATCCCCTTCCCTTCCCCTTTCCCCTCTGCATCCTGCTGTTTCCACCCCTCGCCCCTACCCCACATACACTCCACCAGAGTGCAGCATTTCGTTCTAGACGAGGCGGACAAGCTATTTGAGATGGGCTTTGTGGAGCAGATCGACGGGGTCGTGGCGGCCTGCTACCTGCCCTCCTTCACCCTGACCCCAACTCTCATCTCATCCCATTTCCTTCCCCCCCCCCAACCCCTTCCACCCCTCCCACAGTGTGCAGCACCTGGTTCTTGACGAGGCGGACAAGCTGTTTGAGATGGGCTTTGTGGAGCAGATCGACGGGGTCGTGGCGGCCTGCTGCCTGCCCGCCCTCACGCGCTCCCTCTTCTCCGCCACGCTGCCTGAAGCGGTCGAGCAGCTGGCGCAATCCGTCATGCATGACCCTGTGCGGATCGTTGTTGGGGAGAGGTGAGGCATGCCTTGGGTGTATTTGCTGCAGCCATTCGCCTCTAGCCGTTGCACCCTGTACGCTGCTGCCTGCCCGCCCTCACCGCTCCCTCTTCTCCGCCACGCTGCCTGAATTGGTAGAGCAGCTGGCGCGATCAGTCATGCACGACCCCGCTGTGAAGCAGCTGCCTGCGCTGGCATCTGAGTCGCCTTGTCTCTCCCTATACCTGCGCTGGCACGCATTGCAGGAACGCAGCAGCAGAGACGGAAGGTGCAGCAGAGACGGAAGGTGCAGCAGTAGCTGGTGCTTGTGGGCAGGGAGGAGGGAAAGCTGCCTTGAGGCTCACTCACAGCTCTGTCTCTCTCTCTCCCTATGCTTGCATTTCCTTCTCATCAACTCGGTGCGCGCCGCATCGCCACAGGAACGCAGCAGCAGAGACGGAAGGTGCAGCAGAGGCTGGTGTTGGTGGGCACGGAGGAGGGCAAGCTGTCTCCTCTCCTGAGGCCACTCAACAGCTGGCTCTAGCTCACAACACTCATGTCTTTTTCTGTAACTTGGTGTGCATTACAGGAACGCAGCAGTGGAGACGGTGCAGCAGAGGCTGGTGTTCGTGGGCACGGAGGAGGGCAAGCTGCTGGCGATGCGGCAGCTGCTGCAGCAGGGCGTGCGCCCCCCGGTGCTCATATTCGTGCAGAGCAAGGAGCGCGCCCAGCAGCTCTTCTCCGAGCTCTCTTTTGATGGACTGAGCGTGGATGTTATCCATGCAGACAGATCCGTGGCTCAGGTAACAATCCCTTTTGATGCGACTCAAGAGGCAGCAGGTAAGAATCTCCTTTGATGGGCTGAACGTGGACGTTATCCATGCGGACAGATCCGTGGCTCAGGTAGGATGAGTGGTGGCAGTTGGGATCCGCAGCAGGGGTGCGGGTGCGGTCGCCGGTGCTCATATTCGTGCAGAGCAAGGGGCGCGCCTAGCAGCTCTTCTCATAGTTATCCTTTGATGGGCTTAACGTGGACGTTATACACGCCGACAGATCCATGGCTCAGGCGAGATTTCCTTTGGAACTTTCTTTTCCTCTCTCTTCCCCTTTTCATTGCACTTCCCTCTTCCTGTCCTCCCCCTCCACCTGTCCCGCTTTCACCAGAGGGAGCAGGTGGTGAAGTGAAAGTGAATACATTCCCGGTCCTCCCTCTTCCTACTCCCCCTCTCCCCCCACTTGTCCTCTGCCAGAGAAAGCAGGTGGTAGACTTGTTCCGGGAGGGCAAGATCTGGTTCCTCATTGCAATGGACCTGATGCGGCGTCTTTGCACTGTCGCTGCTGAGAAAGCCACGCCACCCTACCCTCTCCTCTCCTATCCTCTCCCCTATTCTCCTCTCCCCCTCCCTTGTCGTTTTCCTCCGTCTTCTTCCTCTCCCTCCTCCTCGCCCTTTCCCCTCTCTCCTCCCCCTCGTGTTCTCTTCCAGAGGGAGCAAGTGGTAGACGCGTTCCGCGAAGGCAAGATCTGGTTCCTGATTGCAACGGACCTGATGGGGCGAGGCATGGACATTGCAGGGGTGAATGTGGTGGTGAACTACGACTGCCCGCAGACCACCGCAGCCTACATCCACAGGATAGGTGAGGGGGGAAGGATGTATGCTTTCATTCGCATGATAGGTCGGACTCGTTATGCTTCTTCGCTATCCTGCTTGCTTGCATGCTTGATTCGGTGAGCTGCATTGCTGGTGGGCACTGCGAGGGTGAATGTGGCGGTAAATTATGGCCTTGTGAATGTTATGGCCTTGTGAATGTTATGGCCTTGTGAATGTTATGGCCTTGTGAATGTTATGGCCTTGTGAATGTTATGGCCTTGTGAATGTTATGGCCTTGTGAATGTTATGGCCTTGTGAATGTTATGGCCTTGTGAATGTTATGGCCTTGTGAATGTTATGGCCTTGTGAATGTTATGGCTTTGTGAATGTTATGGCCTTGTGAATGTTATGGCCTTGTGAATGTTATGGCCTTGTGAATGTTATGGCCTTATGAATGTTATGGCCTTGTGAATGTTATGGCCTTGTGAATGTTATGGCCTTGTGAATGTTATGGCCTTGTGAATGTTATGGCCCTGTGAATGTTATGGCCTTGTGAATGTTATGGCCTTGTGAATGTTATGGCTTTGTGAATGTTATGTCCTTGTGAATGTTATGGCCTTGTGAATGTTATGGCCTTGTGAATGTTATGGCCTTGTGAATGTTATGGCCTTGTGAATGTTATGGCCTTGTGAATGTTATGGCCTTGTGAATGTTATGGCCTTGTGAATGTTATGGCCTTGTGAATGGTATGACCACAACCATGAAGCCAGGTCACAGTGGGGGCAGGGCAGCCAGGCGAGGCAGTGACATTCTGCACGGAGGAGGATGAGCCGAACCTGAGAGCCATAGGCCAACGTAATGAGCATGTCCGGGCGCCAAGCCTGCCTCACACCTCCCCACTCCAAAACCTTTCTGATGTTCATTCTCACCCTTTTTTCCTTTTCTTCTTTTTCTTTCTCGTTTTATTCTGCTCCACAGGCCGCTGTGGCAGGGCAGGGCGGCCAGGCGAGGCAGTGACGTTCTATACAGAGGAGGATGAGCCGAACCTGAGAGCCATAGCCAATGTGATGGCGCAGTCTGGCACTGAGGTGCCGGCTTGGATGAAAGCTCTGCCCAAGAAAAGGCTGCGGAAGCACAGGGACGGAGAGAAATCGGCTGTCTTGCCGCCTAAACGAGCGCCGATTTCGACGCACCCTGCCGCGCAGGCTAAAGGGGTGAAGCGCCGAAAGGTAACAGCAAATAAAGGCGACCTGTCTTAGAAGAGAGTTGTTAAATCTCATAGGGTCAGTTTGCATAACTTTGGATGATGTGAATTCACATACTCTTTATATTGCGATTATATGTTGTGGTTTTAACACGTTCTGGGTAACATTTCTTCACCAAGCTCGCTTATCGAAACATAAAGAAGCCCATGCAGAACAGCCTGATCTGAGCAGAATTTTGAAACAGTTCATACCCACAAAAAATGTGAGGAGATGAGCGAAGATGGCTGCTCGCTGGATCCAGTAATCACTGCTCCACGTCATTGACTCAACGCTGAGATTCAGCCAAAGCTGAATTTGCGCTTCGTTCCGAGGCTCGCGGAGACTGTTCTTGGACAGAATTGTTCCAATCTGGCTGTCCACTTCCTCGGTCAATTAGGCTCGGGTATTTGCTTTTGACGTGCTTTCACGACCTTTTCCTCGTGCGATATTTTCTTCACGTGGAGGCATGAGTGCATCCCTGAGCTGTCAGTTGGGCATGGCAATTCAGCTGAATTATTTGGCATTCCGCGGTTCGGACATGAGGATCTGTCCGTCCGTTCAACAAGAATGCCTGCGGCTGTCTGAATCCATCATGTGCACCCTCAGGATTGTGCGGAGGAGAATGCCGACAGCGGTGCATGAGAGGAGACAATCCAGCTTTGCGCGGCAGGATAGTGGGGTGGGTAGAGCCAATCAGTTTCGTGCGCTTCGTGGACAGCCAGATGCGGAAAAGGAATGGACAAAGCCCAACATGGATTCATGGCCGCACAGACAGCTGAAGGCTGGATTCTCTTTCACGAGAAAGATTCATGTAAACTTTAAAAAAAAAAAAAAAAAAGTGGTGAGCTAACGACGATTTGCAGCGGAATTGTCTGGCTCCGATTCTGCGGCCTGTGTTAGTTTGGTTGGTGGTGAGGGTCAGCAAAACTTCGAAGTTTCTCACAGCAGAAAGTGGGTTGGTGGTGGTCGAGTCGACCACTAGGGCAGTCGGGCAGACAGCGACACTCGGCGAAATCTTGAGAGTTGTTCGCTTCTGTTCTCGTTACGCTGTCAAGAAGCGGCGTGAGCCACGGAATGGTGCAAAAAAAAGGTGGTGGAGACGGAGCGCAGAGGGCAGGGCACTGCGATTGGCTACGGTAGTCCCAAGTCGTCAACTGATACAGGCAGACTCAATCTACAAGTCCACTAGAAATTTCAATCAAAACAATGCCAGCATTCCTTCCTGCCCGTAGACTTCCCCCCAGCTTCCCCGACCTCCAGCTTCTCTTCGTGACAGAAAGCATCATACCCAGCTCGTGACTGTTAGTTATATCCTCAACGAAGTGATGCTAACTTAGTTTACACAACGTCGAGTTTCACAAGTTATTCATATCTGCTGCTGTTGGCAACTCTTCTCAGTTTCTCAACTAAAGGCCTGCTTGGTGACACGTCGACGTACAGCAGGCGGTAATAGGCATGGCCAGGGCCGCTGAACTCTATTTCCGAGTTGGGCGACGGGGTGTGTGGTTCGGGGAGGATATCGCGTGGTTCTGCGCGGAAGTGTTGTCAGAGTCGATACCAAGCGACGTGGGGTGAGCGGGTTAACGATTGACGACAGATACGCTTGCTTACGTTTAATACTGTGTGAAAAAATCGTGCGGTTGTGTGCGAAGCAAAGACTGCTGCGAGTGGAGGTTCGTCGGAGAGTTGGAAATCATAGTTTCTCGAGTGGAGGCTCGTGGATCTCGAGGCGTTTAACAGAGACTGTTCGAGACGAGGATACGCGATTGAATCTAACGGCTAGATATTATGCGCGGCTTTTAAAGATTCTTGTCTACTATCCACTAAGGCGTTCAAGATCTGTTGTTCCCGACGGCTCATTCAGCAGCAAATGGTTCACTTATTCCTTCGTGACGTTCATTTTTCTCAATCGGCTTAAGATTGGTTTCCGACCGTCTCATTCGACAGCAAGCGGTTCATTGCTTCCGTCAACTCGTTTTCCTGTTGATTTAGCACAAAGAGATTGGATTTAGTCGTTTCGACTTGAGCGAATTTGTCTTTCTTCGCGAATCTCGCCTAGATGGAGTTTGACGGCTCCGACATGATGGCTGGGTTCGGGGTTGGGCCGGGGATGGTTTCTGCGAGCAGGCGACGGAACTGGGCCAATCAGGGATCATCCCTGGGAGGTATGAGGCAGTTCGACGCTTTTCCAGCGCCGTGGGAAACGGGTTTTCTCGGAGGGTCACACCATATGACGGCTGCTTCCGAAGCTGCGTTGGCGGCGAGCGCAGCCCTTCCCGGCTCTGCGCTAGCAGCGAGTCTTTCAGCTGCTGCGTTTTCGCCGGCGGGTCTTGCTCCCGTTAACGTTAACGGCTCGATTCCAACCGCTTACGGCGTTTCTGCCGGCCTGCCGGCTCGCTTATGTGTCGGTAGCTCCGACGGAAGGACGCCGCAGATTTTGCCGCTGGCAGCGCCGGCCATACCGCCGCAATTGTTACTTCCCCATCAGCACATGCCCGTCGGAATGACGCAGATGTTGTCCAGCAGCAGCGCCGCCGCCGCCGCGATTTCCGGAGCCTCATCCTCATCAGCCACAGCGGCAGCCGCAGCGGCAGCAGTGACGGCAGCAGCAGCAGCAGCAGCAGGAGGAGGAGGAGGAGCTCGCGCCGCGCCGCACCTCCCGCCGCCGCCGCCGCCGCCCGCGGCGCACACGCTGGCGCCGTTTCTGAGCAAGACGTACGAGCTGGTGGACGACGCGGCGACGGACGGCGTGGTGGCGTGGACGGGCAGCGGCGTGAGCTTCGTGGTGTGGCAGCCCGCGGAGTTCGCGCGCGACCTGCTGCCGCTCTACTTCAAGCACAGCAACTTCTCCAGCTTCGTGCGCCAACTCAACACTTACGTGCGTGGTGGGCACCGTCACCGTTACCGTGACCGACTCCTCCTCCTCCCATGCCCATGATCATGCCTCCGTGATTTGCGCGTTTGTTTCGTTGCTCCTCCCCTCCCCTCCCATGGACTGCTCGCGTCGCCAGCTTCGTGCGGCGAATCAACACCGACGCGCGTGGCAATTTTTTCTCTCTCTCGGAGTCCGAGAGGCAACCAACCGAGGCGCTTCGCTCGCGTCGTGAGCCATTGCGCACGATGATTCAGCAAACTCTCTGCCGACACGCGCTCAAATTTGCGCATTCCCTCTCCCCCGCAATGGTAAACAATTTGCGAAGCTCCCTCCCCCCCGCGCCCATTCCCTTCCGCGCGCCCCCCTCTCCCCCGCCGCAACCCCCCAACCCTCCTTTCCTATGAAGCGTTCTTAATGCTCCCCTCCGCTCCGCGCGATTCCCGCTTTTCTCCCCAACAGGGCTTTCGCAAAGTGGACCCAGATCGCTGGGAGTTCGCTAATGAGTGCTTCGTTAGAGGCAAACCGCAGCTGCTGCACTCGATACACCGCCGCAAGGCCTCCACTTTCGGAAGCGGTAACGGCGGGAACGGAAACGGTAACGGTAACGGAAATGGCAACGGAAACGGAAGCGGTAACGGAACGTTACCAGGCTCTGCTGCTGCCATCGCCGCTTCGCTTCACCCCGTCCCAGATCTACCTCCCCCAGTTGCCGCCGCCGCCCTTCTCCCGCCTCTCTCCTCCGCCTTCGCCGCTACCTCTGCTGCTTCGCCCGCCGCCGCCTCCGCCGCCGCCGCTTCCGCTGCTGCGTCTGCCTCGCTCCTTGCACGGCGGTACCAGCAGCAGCAGCTGTTGGGTGACGTGGACATGCTCGGTGACGTCAGAAGAGGGATGATTTCCGCCGGTACAGTGTTTGACGAAAACGCTGTAGTCAACGCGGTCAACGGGGTGAACAGGGTCAATGGAGTAACCAGGGTCAACGCGGTCAACGGAGTCAACGGAGTCAACGGAATGAGAGCGCTGAATTGCATGTACGGGTCCCATGTCCCCAACGGAGTGAGTCCCCTCATTGGGCTGGATGCAGTCGAGGCAGCGAGTAGTCAAACCCTGGTGGGGGAAACAGCTGCTGCTGCTGCTGTGTCCGCGTTGACTGGGTTGACCGGGTTGACTGGGATGACTGGAGTTGCTGGGGTGACTGGGATGACTGGGGTGGCGACGGCCATGCCTGGTGGATTGGCTGCTACAGCTGGGATGACTGCGATGACTGGGATGGCTGCTACGTCCAGAATGGCTGCTACAACCGGAATGGCTGCTACAGCCGGAATGGCTGCTACAGCCGGAATGGCTGCTACAGCCGGAATGGCTGCTACAGCCGGATTGGCTGCTACAGCCGGATTGGCTGCTACAGCCGGATTGGCTGCAAGTGGGATGACAGGAATGGCTGCTACAGCTGGAGTGACTGGGATGGCTGGATTGACTGGCAACTTGACTGCTGGCATGGCCGCTACAGCTGGCATGGCCGCTACAGCCGGCGTAGCTGGCAGCAAGGCCGGCAGCATGGCCGGCAGCATGGCTCCGTACAGTGTGCCGAGTCTCATGCTCGACGCGGGCGCGCGCGGTATGGGCGCATTCGGCCTGGTGGAAGAGCCAAGCCACCTGGGGATGGGGGGCGACAGAGTCGCACTGCTGCGCCGTTCAGCCGCGGGGGCGGGGCCGGTGGGAGCGCCGGGGGCGGCGGGGGCGGCGGGGAACAACACGGTGGAACTCGGCGCGTTCGGGCTGTCGGGGGAGGAGCTGAGCCAACTGCGGGAAGGGTTGGACAGAGGCGCGCTGCTGCGCCACCAGCGTTCCGCCGGAGCTGCGGGCGCGGGCGCGGGGGCGGCCGTGGGCGCGGGAGCGGGGCCGGCGGGGCTGGGAGCGCCGGGGGCGGCGGGGAACACGGTGGAGCTGGGCGCGTTCGGGCTGTCGGAGGAGCTGAGCCAACTGCGGCGCGACCGCGGGGTGTTGATGCGCGAGCTGCTGCGCTCGCGGCAGCAGGCGGCGGCGAGCGCGGAGAAGCTTGCGCTGCTGGAGGCGAACATGGCGGCGCAGGAGCAGCGGCAGGCGCACATGACGGCGTTTCTCGCGCACGCGCTCAACAACCCCGCGTTCCTCGCGGGGATCGCGCAGCTGCAGGGGCAGCACGCGCTGCTGCGCGCTAGCCGCGACAGCAGCAGCAGCGGAAGCGGGAGCGCGGGGAACGGCGGACTCGGCGGAATCGGCGGAATCGGCGGGATCGGCGGGAAGAACGGGATCGGGGGGATCGGGGGAAGCGGCGGAAACGGGACAGGCGCGGGGAAGGGGAGTCCGAAGAGGGCTAGTATCAGCCCGAGTGGGAGCAGCAGCAGCGGGCGGGGCAGTAGGAGTGGAAGCAGGAGCGGGCTTGATGTGAGTGTGAATGGCAGTTCCAGCCATGGAGGGTCTTGCATCGGTGCTGGGGGTGGTGGAGGGAGTCCAGAGTGGTTGAAAGCGGTTACCGCTGGGATGGGCGCGGCTGGTCTTGGTGCCCCTGGTTTTGCTGCTGCTGCTGCTGCTGCCGCCGCTGCCACGGCTGCTGCCGCTTCTACTGCGGTTGGGATGGATGTGGATGGGTGCACGGACCTGGGCAACACTCACAAGCGAGGATTTGACAGTGGAAACACGGGTTTCTCCCAAAACGGTATGGGAGGCGCTGCAGGCATGGAAATGGGCATGAATGCTCGCAAGGGGATTCGAGGCATGGAGGGTATGGGAGGGATAGGAGAGGGGGAAGAATTGGGGGCGGTGAAAGGAATCGGGGGAATGGGGGACAGTGTGGGTGCACGTGGTGCGAGAATGAACCTGTTTCCCCCGCATGGCAGCAAAGAGCAGGTAGCAGCAGGAGGAGCAGGAGGAGGAGCAGGAGGAGCAGCAGCAGGGGGAGCAGGAGGAGCAGCAGCAGGGGGAGCAGGGAGAGGGGTGTATTTCGTGAGTGGGGCGGGCAACATGGGCATGCACTCACACATCTTTTTCAAGCGCCATAAGAACAGCAGTGGCACCAGTGCCGGTGCTGGTCCTGGTGCTGCTGCTGGTGGTGGTGGTGGTGGTGGGGAGGAGGGGGCTGCGTTTGGCAGTGGCAGCAGCAGCATGGGCGCCGCTGCGACTGCGTTTGACCATGGCGGTGCGGAGCCGTCCAGGAGCTTTCTCCCTGGGCTTTCAGGCAACGACCTGCATCACCTCTTCCCACCCCCTGCTGCTTCTGATGCTGCTGCTGCTGCTGATGGTGCTGCTGCTGCTGCTGCTGCTGCTGCTGCTGCTGCTGCAACTGCTGCTGCATCCGCCTCTGCTGCCACCGCTGAGAAGGCCGCTGCCAACAGCAACAACCTGAGCACTCAGCAGCAGCAGGAGCAGGGCGAGCAGACTCACAGTCCCGAGGCCGCTTATAACGAGTATGGGCTCAGCGAGCCACTGGCCAACCCGTTTGGCCGCCCGCCGCCGCCCGGATTCACCATGGAGCGGTTTGACGTGCTGGGCGGGCAGCTGGTGTCGTATCTGACGCCCAGGGGCGCTGCTGCTGCCAGTGCTGCCGTGGCTGCTGCTGCTGCCGGCCCTCTCGGAGGGTCCCTCGGGGGAAGCCTTGAAGGGGGGCTAAACGGGGGCTTTACAGGGCACTTTGGGTCCCTTCCAAGGCAGCTTACAGGCTCAATTGGTGGGCCCACTGCAGGGCAGCTTGCGGGGGCGTTTGGAGGGGTGGCTGGAGCAGAGGGGGTGTATGATAGCGTGTTTGGGGAGGGTGTTGGCGGGAGTCTGAACCTGGATGGCAATGGTGGGGGTCCGAGCAGTGGAGGTATTTGGGGGGGATTTGAGGGAGGGCAGAGAACGGGTGGAGCAGAGAAGATGTATGAGCGAATGTTTGGGGGCGGTGCTTGTGGTGCCGGTGGTGTTGGTGGTGCTTGTGGTGCCGGTGGTGCTGGTGAATACCCTGCTGATATAGTCACCAGAGGGGCGGCAGCAGCTACAGCAGCTGCGGCGGTGAGAAGGGAGCAGTTGCAGCTGCTGCAGCTGCAGCAGCAGAGGGAGGAGCAGCAGCAGCTGCAGCAGCTTCTGTTGCTGCAGCAGCAGGAGGAGCAGCTTTTGCTGCTGGAACAGGAAAGGCTTGGGCTTAGGGTTCTTCCTGCCTCTGTGGCCGCAGCAGCATTGGGAACAGCACGAACAGCACCAACAGCAGCAACAGCAGCGGCAACAGCAGCACAAACGGCTGCAGCAACAGCGGCAGCGACAGCAGCAGCAACAGTGGCGGCAACAATGGCAGCAGCGAGAGCAGCTGTGGCTGGGGAGTTGAGAACAGAGGAGATGCGAGCAGTGGCAGCAGCAGCCCAGACACGGGCAGCAGCTGCAGCATCAGCAGCAGCAGCAGCGTCTGGTGTTGCCAGTGCAACAAGGGCAGCAGCCGAATCAGCATCAAGCAGAGCAGCAGTGGCTCCAGCTGTAGCGACAGCAGCAGCACTGGCGCATTTGAGAGCGGCAGAAATGACTTCATTGGAGATGAGAGCTGCACAGCTAAGAGCAGCGGAGTTGAGAGCCGCAGAGTCAAGAGCTGCAGAGATAAGGGCAGCCGAGCTAAGAGCAGTGGCAGCGGCAGCTGCTGCTGCTACTTCTGCTGCTTCTGCCGCTGCTGCTGCTTCTGCTGATTCTGCTGGCACCTCAACCCTTCCTGTCCTTGCAGCATCCTGTGCAGCATCAAGCGTTCCTGCCCTGGCAGCATCACTAGCAGCATCACTGGCAGCATCAAGCACGGCCACTGCTTCTGCAGCAGCAGCAGTGGGGACGGGTATGGGCATGGGCACGAGTATGGGGGCAGCAGCAGCGATGGCAGCTTTTGAGGCGCCTCAAACGTTGGCAGGGGGTTTCCTTGCAGGAACAGCCGGCCTGGGATTGACAGGAGGAGGCCCGACAGTGGGAAGTTTGGGAGGAGCAGCGTCAGGCTTGGCAAGTGGGTTATCTGGGGTGTGGAGTCTGGGTGCGTCTGTCACTCCCTCCCTGCTTTCACCCCCTGGGTTGCCAACACTCGTGCCTCCCGTGCTGCCACCAGCAGCTGCAGCAGTAGCAGCTGCAGCAGCAGCAGCAGCTGCAGCAGCAGCAGCAGCAGCAGCAGCAGCAGCAGCGGGAGGAGGTTCTATGTCCGCTGCTGCTGCTCTGAATGCGGCTGCTCTGTCCGCTGCTGCTCGCAAAGCAGATCTGGCGCGAGCAGCAGCAGCAGCCGCAGCTGCGTTTTCCTCCGCTGCTCCTGCTGCTGCTTCTGCTGCTGCTACTGCCGCTGCTACTGCCGCTGCTTCTGCTGCCGCTTCTGCTGCTGCTTTCGAGGCGCCTGTAGTGGGAACGTCAGGAGCAGCATTCACTGCAACGGCTGCTGCAGCAGCACTGGCGTCAGCTGGTGTTCCCACCTGCCACATTCCCCTCCCCATCCCCCTCCCCCTGCCAGTGCCCCTGCCCCTGCCAATCTCACGCCCGCCCGCCTCCCTTCCCCCCCCTCTCTCCAACTCCTTCCCCCTTTTCGACTCCTCTCCTCTCTCGCGCTCCTCCCCTCTCTCCACCTTGTTCCCTCTCTCTCACGCCACCCCCCTCTCTCGCTCCTCTCCTCTCTCAGACTCACACTCCGCCCCCATCTCACTGTCAGCTTCAGCAGCAGCTGTGGCAACAGTGGCAGCGGCGGCAGCAGCAGCAGCATCAGCAGGAGTAACATCAGCCTCGGGGGGAAAACCGAGCCTTACCTCTTCCTTAGCGCCAAATCTCCCCGCCTCCTCCCCAATCAATCCTATCAGCCCCATCCGCCATATAAGCCGTCCCATAGGCCCTCCTATAGGTCCCCTCACGGGAAACATCCGCCCTATAAGCCTTCTCGGTTCCACAGACCAAAACTCTCTACTGACACTGACTTCTCTGCCACCCCAGCCTGTGCCTCCGTCTCTGCACCTCTCATCTGCTCTCCTTCTCTCCTCTCTCCTCGCCTCCTCCCACCTCGCCTCCTCCCACCTCGCCTCCTCCCACCTCGCCTCCTCCCACCTCGCCTCCTCCCACCTCGCCTCCTCCCACCTCTCCGCCTCCTTCCTCTCCTCTAAGGCTCTCTCACTCTCTCCAGCAGAAATCTTCGCTGCCGAAGCAACTTACTGCACGGCCACTGCCATGCCTCCTCCCACTATCCCCGCTCACTCTTTCCCCAGTCGCCCGCCTGCAGTGAATCCCATCCAGCACCCTGCTGTTCTAACTCCCTTGACCTCCACCCTCACCCCTCCCCACCCGTGCCCTCGTAGTCCTCCCCCTCTTGCTGGGGCTCTGCCGGTTGGCATGCCTCCCACTCTACCTCCCACTCTTGCTCCCCCCCTTACTGCTTCAACCCTCGCTGCTTCAACCCTCGCTGCTTCAACCCTCGCTGCTTCAACCCTCGCTGCTTCAACCCTTGCTGCTTCAACCCTCGCTCCTTCAAATCTCGCTGCTTCAACCCTCGCTGCTTCAACCCTCGCTGCTTCGAGTCTTGCTGCCTCAACCCTCGCTGCTTCAACCCTCGCTGCTTCAACCCTCGCTGCTTCAACCCTCGCTGCTTCAAATCTCGCTGCTTCGAGTCTTGCTGCCTCGACCCTCGCCCCTGTGCTACCTGCAACGCCCATCTCTCTGGACTCACTCGCTACAACCACGTCAACTTCAGCCGCTGCAGCTGCTACAGCTGCTACAGCCAACTCGTTTGATGACGTGGCTCTAGCAGGTAGAGCCGCTACAGCTGCCGCCCTGGCTGCTACAGCTGGGAGCGTGGGGATGGGTGCTACAGCTGTGAGCATGGGGATGGGTGCTACAGCTGCGAGCATGGGGATGAGTCAGAATGCGTCTGCGGTGTTCAGAGGAGAGGGGGAGGCTGATGATGAGGCGTTTTGGCAGCAGCTGCTGAGTGAAGGGGGGCAGTGAGAGCGGTGGGGAGGGGCAGTGAGTGCGACGGGGAGGAGCAGTGAGAACAACTTGGACAAGTGGAGGAGAGGGGGTACGGGGGGGGGGGGAGGGGAGAAGGAGGAGGGGAGGGGGACAGGAGAAGAGCAGGCGATGAGGGGAGGAGGGGCCATGTAAAATGTCTGCCATAACTCTCATTCGTTTGTTCTAGTTTCATATTCTGCTGCCACTGCCCCTGCCTCCACCTGCCTCTGCAGCTGCATGTGTAGTCCTATACATGTGTTCCCCCTGTGTGCTTGTGAATTTTGGGTGTAGATTTTGAACGTTTTGTGTGATTTGTGGCTCGGTATCCTCTGCTTCAGGATGCCTAAATAGTTCACTTTTTAGTGGTTCCACTTTTGTAACGATTATCCACAGGTTGGTACCGCTCGATCAAATTGTTGGGCTGAGAAAAGACCTTAGGATCTTTGAAGGGCTGAACTCTGGGTAGGACTTGTTGTAATAGCGGAAGTGTTTGATAAAGTGTTATGAACCACCTTGCGCTGGTATGTGAGGGCAAAGTAATTGATTAAAACAAAGAGATACAAGATTATATAAGAGTACAAGGAATACGAAGAGATACGGTCGCAACTACTTTACTGTTGCTGTTGCGGTTCGATACAGTAACGACTCGGGCAACTGCTCTGTAGCGAGTCAGTTTTGTGTCCTTGCTGTCGCGCTGTACTTGTCAAGTCAAAGGTCGCTGACCTTTGACTTTCGCGTAACCTCTAGCAACTGCTCAACCTCCGAGGGTTGACTCGCCGGTGCTTCGATATACTTTGCTTCGCTTTTGACTTCGTGTTTCGACACGACAGAGGCGCTTGGAATTAGTTGTTTCCAACACTCCCCTTCGCTCTTGGAGTGTTGCTGCTGGTGATGTGGCTCTGTCCAGTCAGCAGCATGCAGTACTCAAACTTCTGCTTTCCGAGCTTCTTGGTCAAGTAGTCAGCTGCCATTTCGGACGTGGGGCAGTATGACAGCTCGAGTCTCCCCTTCTCGATCTCATCCTTCACGAAGAAGTATCGCAGGGCGATGTGTTTCGTCCTGTTCGCGAAGTCGTTCTTGTTGGCTATGCGAATGGCCGACTGGTTGTCGCAAAACAGGGTGAAGTTCGGTAAATGGGCTAGCTTGGCTTCCTCTAGGAGTTCGCGAAGGTACAATCCTTCCTTGGTGGCTGAGCAGAGTGCGATATATTCTGCTTCAGCTGAGGAGAGAGCGATTAATTCCTGCTTACTCGACTGCCAGGAGATAGGACCGATAGGTTCGAAGCGATAGATGTAGCCGGTGCGCGAGCGTCTGTTGTCGGAGTCGCCGGCGTGATCGGTGTCGACGTAGCCGATTAGTTTAGGTGCTGTAGTCCCGTTCTTGTAATAGGTCAGGCCGATCGTCGGAGTGCTAACGAGGTAGTGAAGAGCGCGGTCGAGCTCCACCATGTGATCCGCTTCAGGTTTCTTGAGGTAAGTAGCGAGTTGACTTGCAAAGTATGACATATCCGGACGGCAGCTGACGGCTGCGAAGAGAAGGCAGCCGAGCTTTCTCTGGTAGTCGCGTATACCGGCGGACTTTAGCGGAGTGGATCCTTCCCTGTTATTTCCTGCCGCGAAGTGATATGGCGTGGAGATGGTGGTCGGCGTGGGTGCGAAGCGTTTAGCGATGGTGTCGGGGTATTTCGCAGCGCTGAGGTAGATTGCGTCTTCTTCTTCCTGAATGTTGAGGCCGAGGTATTGTGTGACGGTGGATGAGATTGTGAGTGTGAGGTCTTGTTGCAGCTCCCCTTCGAACCAGGTGGTGATCCCGTCGGTTGAGCCGATGTAGAGCAAATCGTCTACGTAGACGATCAGCAAGATGTACTCGGTGCCCTTTGTGAACCGGTACATGCCTTGGTTGTGAGGTAGCTGGCGGAATCCAATGCGGATGAGTCTTGCGTGCACGTACTGCTGTCACAGTCTCGGAGCTTGTTTGATGCCATAGAGCGATTTCAAAGGCTGACAGACTTGGTTAGGCTCTCCGTTGGAGCCGTGCGGTAGCTCGACGAAGATTTATGCGTCGACGGGTGCGTAAAGAAAGGCGTTGGCGACGTCGATTTGCCGCAGCTTCTTCTTCTTCATGGCGGCGATCGCGAGAAGGATTTGTAGCGAGGTGTGTCGGCTGATCGAGGCGAATGTCTCGGTGAAGTCGCGTCCGTGTTCCTGGTCGAAGCCACGTACAACCCAGCGTGCTTTGAATTTGTCGATGGTGCCGTCTGCTTTTGTTTTCACACGGAAGACCCACTTCCCGGTGAGTATAGTCTTGTTTCGTGCCACACTGATGGGAACGACTTTCCAGGTGTTGCGCTCCTCTAGTGCCTTCAATTCCCTGTCCATGGCTTCGCGCCATTTTTCCCTGTGCTCCCCCCCCAGAGCCTGCTGAACCGTCGCAGGCTCCTTAGGAGTCACAGTGCCGTGGACCGCGGTGACCAGGCCAAGTATCTGGAGGCCACTCTGTGTGTAGCGGGGGAGTGTGGTATCCGCGGGATAAGCTACTTCGTCACCTGCTTCTGGGTCAGGTATGATTTTGGGCCCTATGCGTTCTTCTTCGTTGGTGTTGACTTCTGCAGGTGTAACGTAACCGTTGTCGGCGAAGTGGTAAAATACTTCGGCGTTGACGCTTTCGCGAGGGTTTTCGTCATCCATTGGGACATCGACGGAGCAGTACGGAAGAGGTCCGGCTTCCTCCGAGGCTGCATCCACGTTCAGCTCGTCCCAGTCAGCTTCGTCCGCTGCGGAAGCGAAGGCTCGGTCTCCACGAAGTCCACTGGTGAGGTCGCGTTGTTCTTCCACGTTGGCTAGGTAGGAGTCGAGAGTGAGTCGTTCGTAGAAAATCACATCACGTGCTGCCACTGTTTCCTTGGTGTGGACGTAAAAAATCTTCCATGCGTTGTAATTCTTTTCGATGCCCAGGTGTAGCCCCCACTTTGCGCGTTGGGAGAATCGGCCGGCTCGTGCAGATGGGGGTCGGTACTGTACCATGCAGCCAAAGACTCGTAACATTTTTGTGCTACCCAATTTTCCTGTCCACAGCACATGCGGTGATGCGTTGTTCGGAAGCGATGATGACGAGAGCAAGTTGTGCAGCATGACAGCGTGGTCCATTTCTTCGGGCCACTGGTGGTTGGGTAGCCGCATGCCACATAGCAGCTTGCGCATTGTGTTCTGGAGGGTTCTGTTCATCCTTTCCGCTACATCCTGCTGTTGATGGGCGTAAGGAAGGGAGATGAGCCTCTTGATTCCCTTCTCTGCCATGTAGTCCTTGAAGCGTTGTGAGGTGTATTCTCTGCCTCCATCTGACTGAAAACTCTTTAGCTTTACTCCGGACTCTCATTCTGCTGCTGGAAGCCAGGTGACGAAGGCTTCGAAAGCCATGTCGCGACTCGGAAGGTTCAGGTGCCAAACGTATCGAGTGGCAGCGTCGATGAAGGTGATGGTGTAGTTGTAAGCTCCTTATCCTGGTACGCGATTGTACAGGATGTCGCTGTACACCTTTTCGAGCGGTGCGTATGCTGGTGCACTCGGGTTGTGGTGAGGGACAAACGGCTGATGCGGTAAGTCGGCTTCAGGACATGTGAAGCACATTCATTTTACTCGTTGGAGTTCTCTCCCGTCATGTAGTAGGAGCGAGTCTTTGTCGAGCACTCCTGCTCTTATCGTGTTGTTTAACGTTGTGTTGCTTGGGTGTCCCATCCGTGCATGCCATATTTCTTCGCTGGCACGGTGTCCGGGTGAACGTCGGTACATGTCGGAGTTGGAGTAGAAGCTGGCGGTGAAGTTGGTGCTTCGATGAACTTCTCGTGGTGCCGATTTTAGCCGCTGCGCGGGTGTCGGCGGTGTGTCATCGACGAAGATCGGTGCCGTTCAAGGACCAGCGATTGGTGTTGATGTTGCCACTGCTGTTACCGTTGTCTCTGCTGCTGCCGATGTTGTCTCTGCTGCTGCCGGTGTTGTCTTTGCTGCTGCCGATGTTGTCTCTGCTGATGCTGATGTTGTCTCTGCTGCTGCCGATGTTGTCTCTGCTGCTGCCGGTGTTGTCTCTGCTGTTGCCGATGTTGTCTCTACTGCTGCCGATGTTGTCTCTGCTGCTGCCGATGTTGTCTCTGCTGCTGCCGATGTTGTCTCTGCTGCTGCCGAATGTTGAATTGTCACTAAGGCTCTTGTTCTTTCTGCTTCAGGAATGGTGTGCGAGTACCAGAATCCTTCGGGGCTGAAGTTGGGGTCAAGATCCGGTGGATGTGTCCAGGAGGTGAAGGTGACGATCCCGTCGCTGTCAGCTGTGCCAAGGTCTGGGACGAAGTCGAGGACGAAGACGTTGTTCTTCAGGACTGCCTTGCCGATGTAGAGACCTCCTCTTCCGTGGTACAACTTGAACTCCTGAGTGGTGCTATCTGCTTCAAGGTGGATGCCTTTCGCCATCAGCTGGTTGACGCTCAGTAAGTTGTAGCCAAGTCCCTCCGCGGTTAATACCTTTGACATCTGCAGTATAACGTTTGTCTCCCTTGACTGAAGTTGAACCACGCCTTGTCGTCGTGTGCGCAGGTTCTGATTGTTGGCGACGGTAATGACGACTTCGCGTTGAAGTTGGTGCTCGCGCTGAACGAAACGTCTCGAAGAGCACATGTGCTGCCCGCAACAACTGTTTATGAACCAGGTGTCTTTTCCGGATGGCTCGCTTTGGGCGATGGCTGCGTACGTTGGGTTCGGTTGAAGTGACTCGCGGCGAGGTGTGGTGTTGCCGAGTTGTGACAAAATTAGAAGAAAGAAAGAGGATTGAACTAGCAAGAATGAGGATACAAATAGCAAACCCTAGAAGGGTTGTACTCGCTATAGAGCACCCCACTACAGGCTAGAACAATAAGATAATATTCTGACACACCCCCATAGCCAAAGTGGGGTGTAATCAGCAGAGCAGGCAAAGCAGTACAAGCTCAGGGTGGATCACAATGTCACCACACAATCTGAGCACAAGTTCAAGAAGAAATAGTTTAGAGTTCACAATTATGAGCAAAGCTAGTGGTAGTCACAACGGGCAAGTGAGGAGGAGGAGAGAGAGTGAGGGGAGAGGAGATAGGAGGCGACGGCTGAAGCTGCAGACACACGGGCAACAGGAGGCAGACTGGCACAGCGGCTACCGGACTAAGCGCCCGGACTACAGGAGTAACAGGCCCCGCGGCTCAAGTAGCGGTAGACGGGCAACAGACCCACGGGCGGCTGGCGTAGAAGTCTAGCTCACTGGGCTACCGGGACAGCGCCCTGGACTACAGGTGCTGCGGACAATAGTACGGCAACCTCCATGCAGCTTCCCCAAACAGTCCCACCCCCCCGACACGCACCCGCTGCTACACCGCTAGCTCCACTCCCACGCACCCCCCTTAAACCCTAAACCCCAGTCTCCCACACAACCACCCCCCTCAGCGACAGCTGCAGCAGTGGGAGACGAAGGAGGAGGAGGAGCAAAGGGAGGAAGGCACACCGGCCACCCCCATACCCGACACCCCACAGCTCGCGGCCCCCGAAGGAGCCGCGACGGGCGAAGGGAAATGGGGGGGGGGGAGGAGGGGGGGGGGGGGGGGGGGGGGGGGGGGGGGGGGCGCGAAGTGGGGCGGCGGGGCCACGAAGTGGGGCGGCGGGGCCGCGACGGGTCGGTGGCGGGGCCACGACCGGAGTTGGCGGGGCCGCGACCGGAGTTGGCGGGGCCGCGACCGAAGGCGGCTGGGCCGCGACGCGAGGCGGCAGGGCCGCGACCGGAGGTGGCGGGGCCGCGACGGGTCTGTGGCGGGGCCGCGACCGAAGGTGGCGGGGCCGCGACCGGAGTAGGGCGGCGGGGCCGCGACGGGTCCCCGTCGCCCGTCGCGACGCCTCCAGAGCGGGACGCGGCGAACGCCGCGAGGCAGACGCCCGCCGCGCGCCTCGGGGCGCACAGCGGGCAGAGAACCGCCGCGCGCCTCGGGGCGCACGGCGGGCAGAAAACCGCCGCGCGTCTCGGGGTGCACGGCGGGAGGAAAAAGTAGCAGCGAAAGCGAGGTGGTAACCCACCCAAAGGATCGATCCAAGGGGATCGACCTGCTCTGATAGCATGACAAAATTAGAAGAAAGAAAGAGGATTGAACTAGCAAGAATGAGGATACAAATAGCAAACCCTAGAAGGGTTGTACTCGCTATAGAGCACCCCACTACAGGCTAGAACAATAAGATAATATTCTGACAAGTTGCTCTTCCGGTGAGTAGTGTGGCGGTGACTCGGTGATGCAGGAGTCGCTCAGTCTTGCCATACAACTGACGATGTTCCTTGCTCCTTGTGCAGGTTGTCCCATTGATGTCGTTTGAACTTGAGCGGTGGGGTTCGCTTGTGTTGAAGCGACTTGGCTGCTTGAAGGTCGAAGCTGTCGCTGTGGCGGTGTTGATTGTTGTCGATTCGGTCTGTGTGTGCGCGGATGTCCTGACGTCTTGCAGAGATGGCAGAATGGAGGTACATGCTTTGGTTGATGTCGGCTGTTGTTGTTGTTGTAGCGTTGCTGAGTGTGGAAGGCGAACTCAGGTGTTGACGTCTTCCTCTTGTGTCTTTCTTCTTGCAGGTCCATGTCTCGCTGCTCGGCATGGACTTCGGCGCAGAGTGCCGCTTCGGAGATCTTCTCGTGAGCTCGGAGAATAGTTCGAGTGGAGCGCCAATGAGGACCCAGTCCAGTGATGACGACTGTGACGAAGGCTTCTTTGGAGATTGACCCTCCGCATCGAAGGAGTTTGTCGCGTAGTTTGCGACAGTGGCTGATATACGCCATTCCTTTTTTGCCTGGTTTCATCTCGACTGTTGTCAGTTGCGCCGTCAACCGACTCTGATTTACGGAGTCTGTTGCTTGATACAGGCTCTTCAAGTGGCTGTATGCGAGTTCCGCGGAGTTGCCGTATCCCCGGTAAGACCGCATATTCTGCTGCTGATTCGGAGTGATGTTCCTTAGTAGAATCGTGTACGCTATCATTGACTGATATGTGTACTGCTGCTTGTCGTATTGCGTACCGTTTGTTGGATATGGCAAGGACCCGTTGAAGAAACCGAGAATCTGCGCGCCTTCCATCATTAACTCGAACTCGAACGACCAGGTGAAAAAGTCCTTTCCGTCGAAGGGCCTTGACGTCTGAAGTTTTAAGACGTGCGCGAACTGCGACTGAACTTGAAGTGCGTCCAGTGTCTTCTCTTGTCCAGGTGCAGGCTGCGGTTGTGGCATAAAGCTGACGGAGCCGCGCTGGGGCTCGTACGGAGCAAAGGTAGGTTGCTGCTACTGATTTCCACGTGCGTAGGATGAACCATCAAGGCTCATTGGAGTGACGTCGTTGTTGTTGTTGCTGTTGTTTGACTGTGCAGGTGCCGACTATTGGTGTTGCTCGTAGAAGGACATGAAGGAGAAAAAATTCTCCATCATGCTCTGATCTAAGCCTGCAAGTTGATTCGCAGGAGTCTCAGTAAAAGTTGCTCTTGGTCTTGTTGCCGTACCCTCCTCTGTCTGTAGGCCAGAGGCAGGAGGTGGAGTAGGAGTAGTACCCGGGGAGCCGTTACAGGAGCTCCTTTCCTTTTGTGTTGCCATGCCTTCTGACGTTGTAGATAACTTTATAGTAATTGAGTTCCCCCTGTTAGCTCTCATACCATGTTGGGCTGAGAAAAGCCCTTAGGATCTTTGCAGATCTAAACTCTAGGTAGGACTTGTTGTAATAGCGGAAGCGTTTGATAAAGTGTTACGGTATGAACCACCTTGCGCTGGTATGTGGGGGCAAAGTAATTGATTAAAACAAAGAGATACAAGATTATATAAGAGTACAAGGAATACGAAGAGATACGGTCGCAACTGCTTTACTGTTGCTGTTGCGGTTCGATGCAGTGACGACTCGGGCAACTGCTCTGTAGCGAGTCAGTTTTGTGTCCTTGCTGTCGCGCTGTACTTGTCAAGTCAAAGGTCGCTGACCTTTGACTTTCGCGTAACCTCTAGCAACTGCTCAACCTCCGAGGGTTGACTCGCCTGTGCTTCGATATACTTTGCTTCGCTTCTGACTTGGTGTTTCGACACGATAGAGGCGCTTAGAATTAGTTGTTTCCAACACAAATCAAACTGTTTGTACTTCTATCTGATGGATGGCAAATACGGGCTCCGAAGTCTATACTTCCCTAATGTTACAGGTGCAATGTAGCAAGGTAGTGAGGATTGCACTAGTTTGTCAAAAGAGTCCTAAGTATTGAGTGAAGGCACGAGAATTACCTATAAGCTAAACATGCAAACAGTAATGCGGTGCATGAGAGATATCGGTAGCTGGCGCGATGCTGACAGCGAGGTTCGGGCTAGTCCTGAAGTGTAGGCTGACTCGGCCAGGTAAGTGATGCATGGTTTGGTAAATGCAGCGCACGACGGAAACGAAAACTATGTTAGCTGTAACGGGCGAAGAACGGTCGGTCTTGTACACTATGTTGAGCGAGCAGTGCAGTAAGGAAAATTCCTTACACCTAAGGAGCTTTGTTCTATCTTGCAGCTAGCGTACAAATGGTGTTGCTGGCATAATTGAAAAGGTAAATGGTGCTTAATAAGCAACACAAACACAAGGTCTTTTAGCAGCAGTACCCTGGGAAGGGGCAGGAACGGACAAGCTATTTACTGAATGTGCAGCGCACGAACGGACAGACATGCGCTACCACTTATTCATTTGTGTGCGCTGTTTTATTCTCGCATATTATCTCACTGCCTCTACTGGACGGCGACTGCAGCAGCTCCCTCTTCCAATCCGTCAGACCCTTCCGGCAAAATCTCTTCCGCAGTCGGCCCATCATCCAGAGTTCTCATCGCACCGTCAGCAGCAGCACCCTCAGAATCGCCCTCGTTCTCGCTGGCAGGGCTACTCTCGCTGGTTATGCTCCCAGATTCAGAATCTTCAGCGCTGGAATGCGAATCTGCAGTTTGTTCCGCCTCCGTATCTGCTGCCTCAGTGGACTGAGACTCTGCTGTTCCAGCCTCCGCTGACGCAGAAGTCTCTGTTTCAGGATTCTCCGTTTCAGGGGCATCCACTGCAGAAGTCTCCGTTTCAGGGCTCGCCGTTTCAGAGCCCTCTGCGGGAGCACTCTCTGTTTCACCGTCTGCTGGGCTCTCGCTGCCTTCTGAGCTCACTGCGTCGCCTTCCGCTACAGACTCCGCGCCCGCTGCTACAGCCGTCTCGGCCGGAGCACCCTCTGTTTCACCGTCTGCTGGACTCTCGTTGCCGTCGGAGCTCACCACGTCGCCTTCCGCTACAGCCTCCGAGTCCGCCGCTACAGCCGTCTCGGTGTCAGCGTCCGCGGCCGTGGCTACAGCTGCTGCCGCCTCAGCAGCGGCGGCGGCGGCTTCCTCCGCCGCCGCCTCCACCTCCGCCGCGATGTCCTGCCCCTCCGCGCCTTCCTCCGCCGCCTCTTCCGCCTTCACCTCCGCCTTTTCTTCCGCCTTTTCTTCCGCCTTTTCTTCCGCTTTCTCTTCCGCACCCGACTTCACCTCCGCCTTCTCCTCCGCCTTCTCTGCTGTATCCGTTTCGCCGCCAACGGCAGTGGCTTCTTTTGCAAAGATCACGACCGTATTCTGCCCCGCTACAGCCACATTGTCGCGCTCCTCCAAGTCACTGCCTGCTGCCGGGAAATCCGCTACAGCCGTGGGGATAACCTCCGCTACATCCGAGGGAATTTCGTCCGCTACAAGTTCCTCGCTAAAAGTCACGACGCTGTTTTGACCCGCTACAACCACGTTCATGTTGTCTTCTTCCGATTGCAGCGCCCCGTCCTCGCTCCAACCTTGAGACTCGGGGCCATTCGACGCACGAAATGCATCATCCGCCGCCTCCGCCGCCGCTGCTGCCGCCGCCGCCGCGGCTCCGTCGACGGCCGTGGCGCTCAAATTATTGTCGTCGTCGTCCCACGCCGAAAGCGCCGTCGATACAGATTCCGGGACGCGGATTCCTGTGTCCGGTCGGAGTTCGTCCAGACCGAGCGGCTCGATGGACTCCGAACGCGACGTCTCTTGTGTCGGCGGGTCGTGCGTTGAAGGTTCTGCCCGCCACGGGCGCGACGCGTGGGAGAAAATCGGTGAGGAGAGGAGGCAGAGCAAAAGAGCCGCTTGAATTCTGACGTCCATGATAGCTGTACCGATCAACGCGTAGCGCTCTCAACGGTAACACAAATCGGCGTGACTATCAACTATGAGCCCAGGATTCGCGTGGCTTACGGGTAACTTTTCTCAGACTTCCAGGGAAGACCGTGAACGAAAATATACTGAGCACCAAGGAATCATCGAGAGACTGTTGCGTACTACTAATGTGGCTTTAGCTGGGATTGCATTCTAATGACCTGTAGTTAGTGATTGGGCTCCAATGACCGAACCGCGCCAGTCTTCCTATGTTTGGGTTCATTCGCTCGTGCTGTTCGACAGGTGGATTTCGTGGGTTAGTGTGGGCAAGTGTTGCGGGGCGGAATTGCGTGGACGTCTTCATCAATCCCATTGGGTTGGAGAGAGCTGCCCTCGCAAAATGTGCGGTTCGGCGAGTGTGGGATGTCATGTGGGCCACTGCCGAATCGCAGCACCACAAGGACTTCGACCACTTCGCACAGTCCTCGAAATTTCCTCCATATAGAGAGCGAACAGTTCATATATTTGTATTTCGAAGTTATCCAAATTCTACTCAAGTCGCACCGTATTTGTTCACATGATTCAGTGATCCCAACCTCTTCCCATCTGTCAACCCTGAAAAAGGAATCTCCACATCACGACGACGTTCAGAAAACCAAATATAATAAGCATTATTGTTACGAGTGCAATTGAGTGAACGAACGAGAATTGCACTATCGAAGCAAAGAGTACAATGAGCGAAGGCATGAGCGAAGGATTATATAGCGAAACAATAGTGGTAACGGTAATGGACTGTGGTTGTCGCGCAACGAGCCTGGGGCTGAGGTTGGGAAAGTGTCGAAGCGTAGGCCCGGAGCGCGGGTTACCAGCCGAGCCGTGAGGTTGGGATGCGATGTGCGAAGAGGGCGGGATAATGAATGATGCGATGGTCGTGAGTGGTAACGGTGCTGACTGAGGTGCTACAGTGACGTACGCGTTTGAGCAGGGACGCGAAGTAAGGAAAAGGGAATTTCCTTACACTACCCCCCTCCCCAAGGAGGCCCCTCTTACGAGAGTGCATGGACGTCGCGGAGATTTCGGCTTCGCAGATACTCGGGGAAGACAGGGTGGTTCTCAATTTTATCCAGGGGGACCCAGTTGTCTTCTGTGGGCGTTCGGTCCTTCCAGCGAATTAGGAACTCTATCCATCGGGCTCCCCGAGGGTCGCGGACTCGGTGGCTGAGGATTTTTTCAAGGGCGATGAGTGGTTCGGTTGGGGGACGTGTCATGCTGGCTGGGCGATTTCGTGGCAGTTGGCTCGTGGATGGGATGTAAGGGCGAAGTAGGCTGACGTGGAATGACGGGCTGACGTACCAGTCAGCAGGGAGGAGGAGGTGGGCGGTGACGGGTGTGATCATGTGGCTGATGCGGAATGGCCCACAATACCGGGGGCGAAGTTTTGGAGTGATGGGCAGGCGAAGATTCTGAGTGTCGAGTAATACGACGTCGTCGGGCTGATAAGTAACGGGTCTGCGATGTCGATCGGCGTTACGTTTAGCGATGATGTTTGATTTTTTGATTGCTTCTGCTGCCCTGGTCCGTGCTGCTTGCAGAATCTCGGCGAACTGTTGTGCTCGTGGGACTGGGTTGTCGGGATTCGGTGTCATGGGTACTGTTGGGTCCTGTCCGTAATTCAAATAAAACGGCGACTGTTGCGTCGTGGCTGATGGTGCGTTATTGTATGTGAACTCGATAAGTGGCAGCTGCTGTTCCCACGTATTCGGGTCGTCGCACGTGGCTCGAATCAGCTGCTCCATGGTCTGATTTGTCCGTTCCGTCTGTTCGTCGGTTTCGGGGTGATAGGATGAACTGAACTGTAAGCGCGTGCCGAACTGCTGCCACAGGTTCCGCCAGAAGTTGCTGGTAAATTTCGTGTCCCTGTCGCTGATGATCGACGCGGGTATCCCGTGCAGTCGTACGACGGTGGAGATGAATAGTCGGGCGGTTTCTTCGGCTGTGATGGATTTCCTGCATGCTGCGAAATGAGCCATTTTCGTTAGTCGATCGACGACGACCAGGATCGCGTCATTCCCACTCGCCCCAGCTGGTAACCCCGTGACGAAGTCCATCGTCACCTGCTGCCAAGCACGCTCTGGAGGCGGGATGGGTTGTAATTGCCCCGCTGGTCGCTTCCTGCTTGACTTCATGAGCTGGCAAGTGGGACACGATGCCACGTGTCGTTGCACATCGGTCAACATTTCTGGCCAGTAGTAGTACCGCTGCAGCTGCTGCCGTGTTTTTTCTACCCCGAAATGTCCCGAGGTAACTCCGTCGTGTGCTTCCTGTAACAGTAGTTCCCGCAGTAGCGTGTATCCCGGTACCCAGATGCGGTCGGTTCCAGTTTTTACGTAATAGACTCCTTTTGCCGCTGCAAATTGCTGTGAGTTGCCTCCTGTAAAGAACGAGTCTGTTTGATATCCGTGGGTAAATAGGCCGGTAAGCAGTGGGCTGGTCTGGGCGAGTAGTATCGCGTGGATCTGGGCAGTGGGGCGGGTCAGTGCGTCGGCGATATTCGATGCTCCTTTTTTGTATGTGACCGTATAGTGAAAATTCGACTCGAGGAAATCGAGCCATCGAATCTGTCGTGGGTTGAGGTGGGGCTGTGCGCGGAGGTACTGTAGAGATCGGTAGTCTGTCCTCTCAGAATCCCAACCACTAGACCATTGGGGTAAAAGGGCTTGTTTTAGTAGCGGGTCAGTGCGCCCATAACCCCCCAGGCAAACGTGCCTGTAACCCTTCCCTAGGATCGATCGGGGATCACCAGTGGACCTCTGACACCCCCCCGCACTGGGATGCCCGAAGTGCATACACCGGGATTCGAACCCGAGACCTTCACTCTGATACCATCTCAGAATCCCAACCACTAGACCATTGGGGTAAAAGGGCTTGTTTTAGTAGCGGGTCAGTGCGCCCATAACCCCCCAGGCAAACGTGCCTGTAACCCTTCCCTAGGATCGATCGGGGATCACCAGTGGACCTCTGACATGTCCGTACTGTCACGTCTGCGCCAGTCAAGTAGCAGCGCCAAACTTTGAATGCATGCACGATCGCGAGCATTTCGCGGTCATGTATCGGGTAATTTCGCTCAGGCGGATGTAGTTTGCGTGATTCGTAGGCGATGGGTTGGAGGCCGTTGCCGAAGTCCTGTAACAGTACAGCTCCGATGGCGATGTCACTTGCGTCGGTAACCACTTCGAAAGGGCGGTGGGGATCAGCGATACGTAGAACGGGTGGTGAACAGAGGACGTTTTTTAGGGCAGAGAAGGCAGCATGCTCTTTCTCCCCCCACGTAAAAGCGACCCCCTTACGCAGTAAATCAGTTAGTGGGGCTGTTAAACGTGCCATGTCGGGCACGAACCGTCGAACGTAATTAACAAACCCTAAAAAACTCTGCAGTTCCGTGATGTTTGTCGGGGGGCGCCACGCTTTTACCGTATCCAGCTTCTTTGGGTCGATCTCAACCCCAGCCTCGGAAATGACGTGACCTAAAAACTCTAGCCTATCCCTAAAAAACTCGCACTTGGAGCCCTTGGTGTGTTAAAATAATTAGAACGTAAGGGCCTAGGCTTAGGAGCCTAGGCCCAACTTAGGTATCGAGTGAGTTGGGCCCAAGGGGGGAGAGTCGAGAGAGTTGTGAAAGGAGAAAAGTGAGTTTCACTATAGGTTCAAAGAACATATAGTATAGGAAACAAAAGGGTGCACCACCTAACAAAATTTGCAATAACTACACTAACTACAGCTACAGGCAGTTACAAATATAAATAATATAAAGTCTGACACTCCCCCATAACTGCCTGCAGCAGAAGTTTGTGCAGAACACAACTTGCAGGGGTACACAAGCAACACAAGCAAGATAATAACCAAGCAACAGCAGGTACTGCAGGCGGGCAGACACTAACTGGTCACCCCCTTCATCACCTCACCCTCCTCCCTCCCCTCCCCCACACTGCTGCAGGAGCAGTAGAGAGGGGGGGAAGAGAGGAGAGGTGGAGGGACGGCTGCTGGTTGCCTCACACCCGTCACCCCGGCGCCTCTCCCCCTGCTCCCCCACACCCTCACACCCTCCCCCCCAGCGGCAGCTGCAGCAGTGGGAACAAACGGAGGAGGAGGGGAAGGGAAGGGTACGACCCACACTCCAACACCCTCCACCCCCATACCCTCCTCCCCGCGGCTGCAGGGAGACAAAGGAGGAGGGGGGTGGGAAGGAAGAAAGCCGCAGAGCGGCGAAGAGGTGTCGGTGCAGTGGTGTCAGGGGCGGCTTCAGGGAATGTAGGTGCGGAGAGCACCGTCGCAGACGCCAGGGGCGGGTCCGCGGCGGCTCAAGGGCACCGCCACGGGCGCCAGGGGCGGGTCCGCGATGGCGCAGGGCACCGCCGCGGGCGCCAGAGGCGGGTCCGCGGGCGCCAAGGGCACCGCCGCGGGCGCCAGGGGCAGGTCCGCGACGGCAAAGGGCACCGCCGCGGGCGCCAGAGGCGGGTCCGCGGGCGCCAAGAGCACCGCCGCGGGCGCCAGGGGCGGGTCCGCGACGGCAAGGGGCACCGCCGCGGGCGCCAGAGGCGGGTCCGCGGGCGCCAAGAGCACCGCCGCGGGCGCCAAAGGGGGCGGGTCCGCGACGGGTAGAAAATAAAAACGTCACGCGCCCGAGGCGCGTGACCAGAAATTCAGCAGCGGAAGCTTTGGTCGGGCCCACAGGCCAGGACCAACCTGCTCTGACAACCATGTTAAAATAATTAGAACGTAAGGGCCTAGGCTTAGGAGCCTAGGCCCAACTTAGGTATCGAGTGAGTTGGGCCCAAGGGGGGAGAGTCGAGAGAGTTGTGAAAGGAGAAAAGTGAGTTTCACTATAGGTTCAAAGAACATATAGTATAGGAAACAAAAGGGTGCACCACCTAACAAAATTTGCAATAACTACACTAACTACAGCTACAGGCAGTTACAAATATAAATAATATAAAGTCTGACATGGTGAGCAGCCGATGTTCCTCTAAAACCTTAAAAACTGCTTCAAGATCTGCTAAGTGTTGCTGCTTATCCCGACTGTAAACGAGGATATCGTCGAGGTAAACGATCACGCATTTATCTAAAAGTGGTCTAAACGCCTCGTTCATGGTCATATGAAAAGTCGCAGGCGCGTTCGTCAACCCGAAAGGCATTACTGTATACTCGAATGACCCGTACCTAGTCCTAAATGCTGTTTTTGCGCAGTCCGATGGTTCGACCCGAATCTGATGGTAACCTCCCCGTAAATCTATTTTCGAAAAGACACGTGCTGTTCGCAGTTGGTCAATCAGTTCGTCGGCGCGGGGGATGGGGTATCGCGATTTGACTGTTACTCGGTTAAGCGCTCGGTAGTCGATGCACATGCGAAAACCTCTGTCTTTTTTCGGTGTGAACAGTATGGGTGCGGCGAACGGTGACGAGCTTGGTCGAATAAACTGCTTCTCTAACAAGTAATCTAACTGCTTCCTTAACTCGTCGAGCTCGGGCTGTGTCAGTCGAAATTGCCGCTGTACTGTTGGCTTTGCCCCCGGTTCTAGCTCGATCCTGTGGTCGTGCGCTCGCTGAGGTGGCAGTCCCTGTGGTAAATCATCCGGAAATATCCCCGGGAACCGTTTCAGTAGTGTCTGTAATTCGGTCGGTACGGCTGCTAGCAGTTTCTTTAAATCATTCTGCTGCTCGTCTTTTTCTACCACTGCGATATCCACTGCGTACACGTCGGCTCCAGCAGCGACAGCCCGTTTCATCGTGATGGCGTTGACCTGGACTGTCGAAGATTCGGGTGGCCGCCAGCGAGGTAGGACGACCCAGTTACCGCTACTTCGCACTGTGCAGCTCCCCGTCGTCCAGTCGATCTGTGGGTTGTACCGTCGCAGCCAATCACGTCCCAGTAAAATGTCGTGCCCATCCAGCGTCGTTGCGAGCATTTCCTGTGTAAACCCGAAGTTTCCCCCGCAGCGGACTTTTACTCGCTCCACTTTTTCTCGTATGGCCAATGGCGTGCCGTCGACTAAGCGTGCATCTATCTCAGGTAAACATCGGTTAAGTATTAACTGTAATCTCCGTGCGGTTGCAGTATTAACTAAGCTGTGACTTGCCCCTCCGTCAATGAAGATTTTCACTGCTGCTCCCTGTATTTTCCCGTAGATCAGTACCGGGCAATCCGTCGCTGTACCCTCCTTATTCATCCGAGCCCGATCGATGGCGTGAATCGGTACTGTGACTCGGTGAGGGTCGGTGTGGTTGGGCGAGCAGGCAGTCTCGTCAGTAGTTGGCCCAACTTCTACTGACTGCTGGCGTTTCCCTGCCTCCGAGACTCCTTCCCCTACTCTGCTCCTCGACGCCTCAGCTCCTCTGGACATTCGCTCTTGCGATGGCCCGGCCGGTTGCAAGCAAAGCAGCGCCCTCTAAATGGCGTGGCAGCTGCATTCGTTGCGACGGCATGTACAGTGGCGTGCTCGATCGGTCCCCGAGGACGATGTCCGAAATAGGACCCCGGTCTCGGTCGGCGTAGGATATCGATTTTCTCGGCGAGCGCGAGGATTTCGTTGAAATTCGATAGCCCGCGTAGCATTATCTCGTGCGATATGTCCGGCTTCAGCCCTCCGACGTAACGGTCCACCCGCTCCGCCTCGTGCATGTAGCCGACCTGTTCGCAAAGTGCGAGAAAACCGCTGGTGTAGTCTAGAACCGACCCGAGCTGGCGCCAAGTGCGCAGTTTCTGACGCGCCGAAATCGAAGCCGCGATCGGCTCAAAACGCGCCCGAAGCCCTGCGCACCACGCATCCCACGTGCTGTATTGGGCTGTTTCGCAGAACGAACTCCAGGTGACAGCTGGACCCGAGGGCCCTTCCTCGTGCGACGGTGGCTCGTAAGCGCGTGGCGACGTCACGATGACTCGCCACCAGTCCATGGCGGGGCCCCTGAGTAGTGAAACCGCATACCGAATCTTGGCGGCGTCCGACTCGACGTAGTTGGCGTCGAAAAACACATTCATCGTGAAGACCCATGATTGAACTGTCGGGCCGCCGCGTTGGCTTGGGTCGAAGCAGGGCGGGCGTTGCGGCTTGAGTGGCATTGGGGCCATCATGGCGTTTTCACCACTTGTCGTCGCAAACTCCACGTGCCGACGGGCTTCTCGGGGCTCCCGTGGGCTTAGCGTGCTCCTGTTCCCTCCCATGCCGGGCATCGGTTGGGCTGCGCCGTCACTGGCTGCGCCTGAGCGCTGTCCCGTGCTGTTGTGTTGCGTTGGTGTGCCGGATGAAATGATAATCGGCTCCTCCGTATGTACAGAGACATTGGTTGGTGCATGGGATGTTGTCGGAGCATTCACCGTTGACTGTTGACGAGCGGAGTCACGTTCCGCCGTGAGCGTCGCGATTTCAAGCGCCGAATCCTCCAATTGTCGCACGAGACGATCGAGTTGCTCCTGCGTCAACGTGGCGAGAGTGAGGTCGGCCATGGCGGGGGTGTCGGGCAAGCTCAGCGAGAGCCTCGGTCGTGGCCGTGCGTGCTTGCGAGAGAGCACTACGAGCGGCGGTGCTGTGTCGCTGAGAGACGTCTACCCCCCCCAAAAATTGAGATAGTGGGAAGCGAAGGTGTGGATGCGGTCCGAGATGAGATCGTAGGCTCTGATTACCAAGTGTTACGAGTGCAATTGAGTGAACGAACGAGAATTGCACTATCGAAGCAAAGAGTACAATGAGCGAAGGCATGAGCGAAGGATTATATAGCGAAACAATAGTGGTAACGGTAATGGACTGTGGTTGTCGCGCGACGAGCCTGGGGCTGAGGTTGGGAAAGTGTCGAAGCGTCGGCCCGGAGCGCGGGTTACCAGCCGAGCCGTGAGGTTGGGATGCGATGTGCGAAGAGGGCGGGATAATGAATGATGCGATGGTCGTGAGTGGTAACGGTGCTGACTGAGGTGCTACAGTGACGTACGCGTTTGAGCAGGGACGCGAAGTAAGGAAAAGGGAATTTCCTTACAATTATTGTGTGTCTTATTGTGACCAGGTTAGATTAGCAGAAGAGGATTGTAGTAGACAAGTACTAATAAAGCTTGATTTACAAACAAAACAATGGACGTAGCAGGGCAGGTGAAAGCTGCTTATTGGGCAAGCTGCCTCACACAATGACAAAGAGGCAACTACCGTGGGTCTCAAAAGCGAGATGCAGCATCCTGTGCTGTGCGACCTACATCAGTATCTCCAAACCAGCTGTTCCGCCAGCCAGATCCTTGGGAGCTCATACATTCAATCCAGCCCACCATCTTCTAGCAGCCCTGCGACTGTCGCAAACCGACGGCTAGCCGGTTGGCTTTAATTACTACCCTCGCCCTTCACGACGACCAGCGTACCTTCCCGACGAGCAGGCACGTGGTACGCATAAATCACGTTGTCTGACCCCGGAAGGGAGACATACGCCGTCGTCGTTGCCTCGTCCTGCGCATCGCTGGTCCTAACAGAGGCGGTGTTATCTGTGGTGTCGTCGACGACAGTCGCAGCAGATGCGACAGCGGACGCGGTGTTATCGGTAGGGTCGTCGACGATCGCCGTCGTCGAAACAGACGCGGTGTTGTCGCTCAGATCGTCAACGATAATAGGACCAGAGGGGGATGCGCGGACAGAAGCGGTGTTGTCGGTGGGGTCGTCAATGACGGAGACCAGAGAGCCCTTCCTGCGTGGAACGTCCAACGCGGCGATGACGTTGTCGGAACCTGGCAGGGAGACGGACGCCGTCAAGAATCCGACGGAGTTGCTGTCGACGTCAGCTGGAACCATCCCAGGGATAGCTGATGCGACGTTGTCGTTATCAGCGGCAGTCGAGACGATCTCGGTAGCTGGAAACAAGGGGACAGAGCAGGAAACATTGAAACCCGTAAGAAATAGGCGGCGTTTACGATAAGAAGTGAGGAAGATCGCGTGGCAAGTTTGCAATAAGAAGCAGAATAAGGCAGTACAAGAAATTTCCTTACCTCCGGCAACGCTGGCGGTGTTATCGTTGTCAGCAGCGGCCACATCTGCCTCTGCCATTTGATTCTTCGGCCCATCGTTCCCCGCCGCAACGACGGCTTGCGCGGCATAGGGATCTAAGGTCAGTAGCGCTGTGAAGAGCGGCCGGGCTCCGTGGCAGAGGGTCGTGGTTGCTAGGAGAGCGGCGAGCACGAGGATTACATTTCTAGCCATGGTGCTGCTGTGAGGACAGTTTCTCGTTGATAGGAGTTGAAATGGATGCTATCAGCTGCAGGGAAACTCACTGGCAGAATGGGTGAGAGATTGTGCTGGTTGTGCGTTGGGTTGGGACTCTGCTTGCTTGATAGGACTCGCACTGCCAATTATCTGATGAGGTAGTGCTGGGGTGCTGGGGATAGGAAAATTGGTGCAGCTCCTGTTGGCAATTTGGGAGCGGATCTGGGGCCTCTGCGAATTCCACACGCCTTGGCGACATGTATTGGCGATGCCAAGTGGCATGTTGAGCGACCCCTTCCAGGTCTCGCCTCATGAACAAAACATGTGGGGAATTGTGGGAATTGCTGGCGCGCCTCGGTGTTTCAAACGCGACCCGCAATTTCCCCACGATATACGCTTTAAAAGAATCGTCACACCCTTTACCAATCTCAGACACTTCCATTAAACAGCGTTACTTCGTCTAGAATAACCTATAATGTGTTTTCAGCCGTTGTGTAAAATTGCATGTTTGTTTGCATGAGAGCGAACCCAACCCAGCGTAACCGAATCCAATGCCTCGGGTTTAGCGGCGTGGCTGGCCCTCTCCGCGCTTTTCCAAAGCAAAGGCAGGTCGTAGTATTTCATTATTCCCAGTTGGCGGTCCGCTATATGCTGACGTTAGTAGCCTCATCCATATCGTTCCGCCGGCCCCTGATGGGCGCACTACGCGCTTTCGCGTCGGGCGGCGGGTGCCGCCACAGCCTCCACCACGCCGCAACCTTACCGTCTCCCACGTCGCGTTCGTCGTTCCTCCCCGCTCTGCGAACGCTCTCCCTTGCTCCCATCGCCCACACTACCACTACCAGTTCCAACCTTCCCGCACGCGCCGCTTTTACTCCATCCTGGAGCCGCGGACTCGTGTCGCCTGTGTCGACTTCCCCCTTTTTCCATGGCGGCCAGTCTCGAGGACTCGCAGGATCTTTCCCACGTGGCGTGAAGTTCCCGAATGGAAGACGAAAAGTTGCGAGTTCGAATCCTGGAGGCGGCTACCGGAAACGGTTAGATCTGAGGGCAGCGGTGTCTGTCGCTTCAGCGGAAGGTGTGGGAGAGGAAGGAGCAGAGGGAGTTGCGGGGAAGGTGCCAGGAATTTGCCCGGGCTGTGGCGTTTCCATGCAAAGCGAGGATCCGAAACTTCCTGGTTTCTTCGTCCTTCCTGCTGCGCTCGATCCCGCGAGATCCGCCGAAGTTGTGGGTTTAGGGGACGACGAAGGGATAGATGAAGGGGAGTTGGAAGAATTAGAGGGTTTAATGGAAGAAGAGGAGGAGGAAGCTGCGGGCAGGAAAAAAACAACCATGTGGACTGAGTTTGACCTAAAGAATCGGGACAGCCCGGGAAAACTTGTGGAGGCGAAGCTTCCTCCCGTTGAGGTTGATGTTGTAGATGACGTGGGCACGGGGTTTGAGGAGTTTGACGTGGACTTTGATCTCGATGCTGACCTGGCCGCTGAAGCTTCCAGGAAAAGCGGGAGGAAGGGCGGCAGCGATGCCCGTGATAATGGTGAGGACGAAGAAGAGGAGGAGGAGGAGGAAGAGGATGAGTTTGATGAGGAAGCATGGGCAAAGGCTTGGGAGGAGCAGATGGAGAGAAACGGAGCAGACGAGCTGAAGGGAGGGTCGAGAGGGGCGACGAGGGGGAGGGTTGCAATGGGAGCAAGGGGAGCGACGGGAAGGGATGTGGATGGTGAGGAGGAGGAAGAGGGAGGGCAGGAGAAAGATGGAAAGTTGGTGGTTTGTGCCAGGTGCCATGCGCTGAGGAACTACGGGCAGGTGAAAGACGAGAGCGTGGAGAATCTCCTGCCCGACTTTGATTTTGAGCGGGCCGTTGGGCAGCGTCTCCGGGCAGCTTACGGCCGCCGGGCAGTCGTGCTTGTGGTTGTGGACGCAGCAGATTTTGACGGGTCCTTCCCGCGCCGGGCAGCCGAACTTTTAGCCCGGGCAGAAGCTGAGGCCGCGGGCAAGTGGAAGGAATCCCAGGCGGATGGCAAGGCAGCAGGGCCTCCGGGTGGCAGCAACACGTTTCGTCTCATCCTCGCGGCGAACAAAGCCGACCTTCTGCCGCCCCAAATCTCGCCGCTCCGACTGGAGCAGTGGATTCGCCGCCGGGCGAAAGCGGGCGGCCTGCCTCGTCTCACATCGCTGCATCTACTATCCGCCAAGACGGGGTTCGGGGTGGCGTATCTGGCTTCTCAACTGGCCACACTGGCTGGGCCAAGGGGAGACGTGTGGGTGGTTGGGGCTCAAAACGCAGGGAAATCCTCTCTGATTAACGCCCTTGCTGCTGCTGTGAAGACAGGGGGAAAGGCCGGGAAGGGCGGAGGGAAAGTGGGGACGACAGGGAAGGGAGCAGGAGGGAGGGCCGGGAAGAAAGGAGGGAAAGGAGGAGGAGGGGGAGTGGGAGGGGTGGGGTTGACAGAGGCATGGGTGCCGGGGACGACTATAGGGGTTGTGCCTATAGAGGGGGTGTTGGGGGGGAGGACGAGAGTGATGGACACGCCAGGGCTGCTGCACCCACACCAGCTGTCGGTGCGACTTTCTAGGGAGGAGCTCAAGGTGGTCGTGCCCAGAAAGGCTCTCAAACCCCGCACCTTCCGTATCAAGGTGAGAAGATGGGGTGGGGTTTCGGGTTCAGGGTTCGGGGTTTAGAGTGAGATTGATGGACACATCAAGGCTGCTGCACCCGCACCAGCTGTTGGTGCGGCTTAGTAGGGAGGAGCTGAAGGTGGTTGTGCCTAGGAAGGCGCTCAAACCCCGCACCTTCCGTATTAAAGTGAGTTGGTTTCCAGGTGCAGAGTCTAGGCGAGGGGTTTAGGTGCAGAGTGATTGGCACACCCCACCAATTGTCAGTGCGACTCCCTTCATACTGCCACGTCCGCTCTTCTCTTTTACAGCCGCAGCAGTGCGTGTTGCTGGGAGGGTTGGCGCGGGTGGATGTGGGAGAGGCAGCAGCAGATTCCCCTCTTTCCCCCCCACACCTACCCACATCGCCCCCACATGCACCCCTCTGCTGTGCAGCCAGCCAAGGCAGTGCCTTCTGCTGGGAGGGCTGGCGCGGGTGGATGTGGGGGAGGCAGCAGCGGAGTCGATTTTGAGTCGACTCAAAACTAGGCTGGCCCGGGTGGATGTGGAGGTGGCGGCAGCAAAGCCCATCTATCTGACAGCGTGGCTCTCCCCAATGATAGCGTCACGCGCACCTCCTCATTGCTTCGCTCGCCCGCCCCTCCCTGCCCGCCCCTCCCTGCCCGCCCCTCTTTGCCCACCCCTCCCTGCCCGCCCCTCCCTGCCCGCCCCACCCCGCCTGCCCCTCCCTGCCCGCCCCTCCCTGCCCACTACGTCCACCCCTCCCTTTGCAGCCAGGGCAGTGCGTTCTGCTGGGGGGGTTGGCCCGGGTGGATGTGGAGGAGGCGGCAGCGCAGTCCATCTATCTGACACGCCACCTCTCCCGCACTCCCCCCACTTCCTTTTCCCCTTCACAGCCAGGCCAGTGCGTGCTGCTGGGAGGACTAGCGCGGGTGGATGTGGAGGAGGCAGCAGCCGAGTCCATTTATCTGACAGCGTGGCTGTCGCCAATGATAGCGTGCCACATGGGCAAGATCGCCAACGCTCCTGCTGTGCTGGAGAAGCACGTTGGGGTCAAACTACAGGTATGGCGATTGCAGGTTCGGTGAGTGCAGGTTCAGTGGTTGCAGGTTTGGTGATTGGAGGTGTGATGATCTTCTCTCTATTCTTTTCACACTCTGAGTATGCTGTTCCCCCACAATATGCATCTCTCCATAGCATCAACTTCAAGTCGTGTTGTCTCTTCCTCTCACCTATGCTCCCCCCCCCATTGTATCCAGCTTAAAGTCATCCTTTTCTTTTGACTACCTCCACCGCTCTCATTTCCCTCTCCACTGCACTCAACCCACCTCCATATCCCCATCTCCAACCCTCTCTCACCTAATCCTCCAGCCGCCAGCAGAGGCATCTCGCATGGCAGATCTCGGAATGTGGTTACCACGTTCCGTTACAGTGGAGGGCACGCGGTGGGACCAGAGCAGCACTGATGTAGCCATAGCTGGGCTAGGCTGGGTGGCCGTCGGAATAAAGGGTTCCGCGAAACTCAAAGTGTGGACGTTTGAAGGGGTGGGTGTGACTGTAAGGGAAGCCATGGTGTTTGATTATGCGCCTGTGTTTGAACGCCCCGGGTTTTCGACTGGTGGGTTGCCGGTTACCAGGGAGGATGGAGGGAAGGGGGGCAGTGGCGGTGGTGGTGCGGTGGGGAGCGGTTCGGATGGGAAGAAGACGAAGAAGAAGAAAGCGAGGGGTGGCAGCAATAGGTCGAGGCCTGACGAGGTTGATGCAGTGGTGCTGTAGTGTCCATTCCTGTCCTGTGCAACTCTTGTAACATGCTGTGACTTTTGAGGCGCCTCAAAAGTGGTGCTGTAGTGTCCATTTCTGTACTGTGCAACTCTTGTAACATGCTGAGTGTATATGTTCGGAACCAGTACTATGGTGGTTGTCCAGTGGCCCCAAAGACAGCTGGCTATTTGCACTGGCGCTAGCATCTCTAGACAGGCCAGCAACACGTTTTTGCTCGGGCATATTGAGTCATATATGCGAATGACTGCCTCTTCAAATTCTTGTAGATAATTGACCACGTTGACTTCCACCAGTCACGTAGACTCAAATGTGGGCGGGTGCTAAAGCATGTACCTTAAGTGGTGGTGGTGGTGTACCAGCGGATATGAAATGTGCACATCTTTCCACTAAAATTATACATGAGTGAGGACAACACTCTCGATTGGATAAGTTCATGATGGCAGCCTGTTCTAAGAAATGAATGAAGATGCTCAAGGCTTACGACAGATGACCATGCCATGCCAAGTTTTAGGGTGCAAAGCTCTCGAGTCTCTACTCCTACCCCAGAGTTTTGTGTCAGACCAGACCACACATCTGCACACAAAAAAGCGTATGTTCCAAGGCTCCTGCTGCTGATGCTGCACCCACACCACATAGCCGCCAACACAAGCAGCAGCAGCCGCCGCAGGAGAAACAAACGCACATAGCAGCAGACGCAGCAGTAGCAGATGCAGCAGCAACAGCATCTGCCATGGCATCAATAGCAGCAGCAGCAGAAACAGCAACACCAACACCCAATAACACCAGCACCAACTGAGCTCACAACCAGCTCAACAAATTCCCCCAGCAACCCCAATTTCCACAATGGAATCAGAAACCTACCAGAGCGTCAACAAACCAAACCCTGCAGATTACCATGACCCCACAATCTGCTACATGCAGCAGTAGCTCCGTGCTCAATAATCAGTATCTTTAACCTTCGTTCAGAAACCACCACATGGCACAGGCATACAGCAAAGCCCGTGCTTTTTCCTAATTTCCCCCCACTAGTCACTCCGCCACGTCCTTCCTTCCCACACCCGACCACCCCACTTGCGGCCCAGCAAAGCTCCATGCTTCTGCTACGCCCTCAGCTTCCATTTCTTCAAGGCTCATCAACCCAGGTCGAGGTCTCTGCTTCGCATACTTCACTACAGGAAGCGAGGCCCCATGGCAGGCGAGCAGAGCCGCTTTCGCTTGCTTGCTCCCATCCCCTGTTCCTGCTGCTGTGCCCACCCCCGCCAAGCCCAATCACCACAGTGCAGCGGAGCAAGGCGACCTTGAGGGGCCCCTCAGAAGCAGCTGAAAGCAGCACCTAGTCGACCTTGAGGTGTAGCTTGAGGAAGTCGTATACCCAGTAGCTCAATGCCGCGGATGGCAACACCTGTCGTGGTGAGAAGGTAAGGAGGCAGAAGGACGGAAATAGATTGTTTAGGAAAATGAGGGAATGCACGATACCTTCTGGAGAATGTTGGGAGACAATGGAAGCACTGGAATGAAACGCAGAGTTGGAAAATGTTGGGGGCAAACGGTAAGGGAAAAAAAGGAGTCTGAAAAAGGTCTGAGTATATCCATGCAGGGTGAAGCATCCTCTCACTACAATATATTGAAGCTAGACTTGGCAGAGAATGAAGAAGCTTTCTCAAGCTGTTCACTTATAAGCTCAGCAGCTGGGTAGCTGCTGATTCTCTCAGAGCCTAAGAATCTCACGATTCTAAAGAACCATCTCAAAAACCTCACACCTATCTAGGGATACCTCAAAATTGATATCAAATTACTTTCCTGGTTTTCAGCGAACCACATTCCTCTCTTTCCTAGATTCCACCATCTCACACCTAGTTATCTGCTTTTGTAAACCCCCCTCATTTCTCTAAGACCTTTATTCTTCATTTAATTTACAGCTTCGATCGCAAAAAGAACATACCTGAAGCAGGCCAGGGACCATTCCAGCGTAGAGCGCCGGGAAGCCTCCTCTCTGCACCACCTCCTTCAGCACCCGCATCGCTCCCGCCTTCTGTCCTGCCACCGCTACGGACCCCTCAATACCGCTCATCTGCATCTGCCGCCGAACCACCTCCAGAGGATAGGTAGCGAACTCCGACACCACCCCTGCAATCGCCCCGTACAGCAGCGTCCGCATCGGACCGAGCTCCTTCCGAACCTCCGCTGCTTCTACCGCGTCTGTCTCTACCGCGGATACATCTGTCGCTTGCGATGCAGACCCGTCGGCTTTGGCCAAAGAGGGAAGACCAGCTGATAGGGAGGCGGATTGGGAGGTAGAGGGAGCTCCTGGCAGGGCGAGTTTCCCGGAAGGCAGGAACGAGATCTTGTCTATCACTGGAAGCTTGGGCTTATCCTGGGATTGCAGATGCGTGGTTTTCATAAAATCGTAAGCTGCGTAGAAAATTGCACAGGATGGAGCGATACTGTAGACCGCAGGCCAGATGCCTCGATATAAGCCGAAGAATCCCTGCGATCGGATCATCTCGCTTAGACAGCCGACCAGATCGGTGCACGCGATGCCGCCTTGCGCGATCATCCTCGTCCGGACCTGAAGGAACCAGATCAGGCAGAGTAATTTATATTAGGCTTGAGAACAGGGGAACGCTGTGCGGGTATGGGTAGGGTATGGGAGTCATGAGGGACATTTGAGGGCTTCATGCTGACTGGTCAGGATTGGAGGAATATAACCGAGAACCGTGTAATGCACGATCTATTGTACCGGATCTATGCTCCCAGAACCTCGCGAGAAACAGTGCTGAACATTCTACTACCGGATGCTTTCTGTATCCGGCGGGAAACTAATCCTAAACCTATATTACCGATGCTTACCGTATCCAGCGGGAAGCAGGCGAAGGTGGCGATGACGCCGGCAACAGCTCCAGCAGATAGCCGCTCAACGTTATTGACGTCCGTCTTCTTAGACAGATCCAGGATCTTCTGACGGAAAATGTCGTACATGACGAAATTGATCGTCTTAAACGGCACGATGCGCAGCAGATTAACGCCGTTGCCCCTCCAGAACCCCATCATGCCCTCACGCGCAAATATCCGCCGGGTTAACTCCGGCACGTGCGCTTGAGCGCCACACACCATGTACTCTAGCTTCAGACGCTCCAGAGGAGCCACCGCAGATCTGGACGGAGGAGACAAGGGAAAGAATTGGATTGGATGTGTTCAGAAACAGACGATAATCGAAGGGTTTGGCTCGGTTCGATTAAAAAATACTCGTGATTAATAATGGCACGCGCGCTTGAATGCTGCACACGTAGCTTACGCTGAGAGGGGGCCAAACCAGATCTGGACAAAAGAGAATAAGGTGACGGACGACGAAAAACTCCACGACAGACGCGAGAATCACCCCGCTTTCCCTCCCAGAATGAAAAACCGACATCTGATCCTGAAGAGGCCCGAACCGGAGGCCATGAATAAAGAAGATCTATGGCGAATCAGCTATTGCAATGACCACATGAGCCGACAAACACGAGCCAGAATAAACCACGACGATCCGACTCGAGCTCACCTGGCAACAACTGACGCCGTAGCTCCGGCGAAGATATGTTTGACGGTCTTCAACCCGCCGTCTTCCTGCAGCCGGCTCCACATCCCCGCGATGTTCTCCCGGCATTCCTTCTGCGCGTTCCCCCACGCCTCTCCCGCTCGTTGCGCAACCGCCTGGCTCTGCGCCGCGACCCAATTCCGCGCCTTCCGCAACTCAACCTCGGGCTTCCATCTTCTGTTCGCAGTCTGTCGGATCTTCTCCTTCTCAGTCGTTTCCCCGACGGCCGGTCGTGCAACCGGCCATCTGTCAATTCTGACGTCGGATCTGGGCCGAGGTGGATCCAGCGGGACGACATCCATCCCCCAGCCGTCGACCACGTCGTCTAGAGGAAGAGGCGTGCGAAGCGGCATCGCCGCCGAGAAGCTCGCGTACTGCTTCCGCGCGTGAGGGGGAGTGACGCACGGCATGCGGAGAGAGTGGGGGTAGGTGCGTTGAAGATGGTGGAAGTCCTAAAACGCGTCGCCGAATTTCGAGATGAGGCTGGTCGGGCGAAAGATCGTAACAGATTTATTTTCCTCGAAATGCAGGAACGTTTTTATTCCTTAGGACTGATTCGATAGAAGGCAGTTGTCAAACGAGAGCAGGGAGTTGGTCCAACCCATCGTCAATAGACCTTGTCAAATCGGCAGATCAATTGGCGACCCAGGGAATCAAGCAGAAGCACGATCCAAAAACGGAAGTAAGGGATAACAACACGAGGCGCAAGCACGTCAGTCGAACGGAATGGCTTCTGAATGAGAAACGAAATGCTGGGAGGACTTCAGTACAAGGAGTGAAGTGAGTGATGGCGCAGTTGTGTTTGAATTGACGCGAAAGGGTGCAGGAGAGAGATTTTTGAATCGCAGAATGGTGTTGTGGTGGATATGTTATGGTGGAAGGCATGATAGTTCTGGTGCGGTTGTGGTGTGGGGGCTGGTGGCGGGGCTGTAGTGGTCAGACAGTGTGTGGAGGGGCAGACCAGCAGTGAGAGGAGGGGAGGGGAGGAGACGCATGCTGGTCTGATTGGAAGGAGTGACTTGAAAATCGGTGGGGGACGTCGGTGGGAGTGTAGTGGGGGTGTGCGACGGTGGCGAAACGAGGCGTGTGCGAAGACGAAGGGTGCCCATAAACGAGCGAGTCAGATGCGACACTGTAGGGGGTACGGACGAACCTTTGCGACACATAACGCTGTCTCGATGTTACCGACAATGTACGCTTCGTGCGGGAGGACCCGTGAGAACGAGGGCATTGTTGGGGGAATGGAATGCTTGATTGATTTTTGTGGAATGAACGGTGGTGACCAGAACTAGACCAGCTCGGCCAACGAGAACCCGCGAAAGCTACAGACCAACTACGTCCAGCCAGGCAGGGGCGCTTTCTGGGGATGGTCGAGCCAATGAGCGCCTTCGCGCGGAACGAGGAGCCAACCAGGCGAATCAAAAGAAGCGGCAGATTTGAGGACGAGCGGCAACCGCACGCAGGTCCCCCATACACAGGTTTCCCGCGATCCTGAATGGGACGCTTCCGCACGTACTGGTGCCACGCGAGACCGAACCACGTTCACAGGCTAGGGTGAAGCTGGAACTCCCAATCAGCGGTGAAGGAATCAACCAAGCTTCCCCATTCGGGCATCAAAACGTTTGCTGGACAAGCGAAATGCGGTGACAAAACCACCACACCGCACCCACCCAGCCTCGTGTGGTGTGTATCTTGCCTGCCCCGACATTGAACCAGCGCTGAGAATATTTGGGCTGAGCTGGCTGGACTTCCACGTGGCGTTTGTTCTTCCGTTGAAGCTGTGGTCGGGGAAGATGCTTATGGTCTGGCAGCGCGCGACTTTTAAATATCAAGTACACGAGCGCCAATGACTTGGCGGGCCTATGGTTTTGAACTAGCGCCATGTATAGTTGATTTTGAAAAAATCCAGGTTCAATTATGTGTCACATGAAGCGGACGAACACGCGCGTTACAAAAGGGCAAAGATATAGCGCATATAATGAACAACAGCTCAAGTATTTCCTTTGAATGAAATCATACAGTTTTGAATGATCATATTATTATCAACACATTCACAGCATGCCAGTGTACCCACTACTATGGATTTAACCAGCCCCACGTCTTCACAAACTGCCCCCTCAAAGCACATTTGTTACCATAATAGGAGACTACAGCAAAATGGCCACGAGGGTTGTTCATGAGCTTGTACGCTGGGGATAATGTGTAGCCAAAGCGAGTAAGGTAACGGCGCGTCCTAATTGCATGGTAGCTATAGGTCCGAACCTGGCGATTGATGGGGCCATTCAGGGTGTCATTCTTCCAGTTCATGATGAATGGCGGCACTCGCACCCCGTCAGCACCCTCTGGAGATGTGAAGCGTCTACCTATGTACACTCCGTACATCGGTATGTTGCCATTACTGAACATGTTGTTGGCCGTCACATAAGTCTTCACCACGTAAGATAATCCATCCCTGCAAAACAAATCCTTACAGTGAGATAACGTTTCAACCACCACAAATATGTCTGCGGATTGGAGTTAACTGAAAAGATAACACGAGCTCACATGTAAACGGAGATGCCAACTCGTCCGAATCCGAGGTTTAGGTCGGTACCTCCGAAGACATTGACTCCTGAAAGAATGGCTGTCGCCCTCTCTGTTTACATCATCAAGCATCACAAAAAATAAAGGAAACATGAGGCTTTGCGCATTCCATGAATACTTTCTAGAAAAACAAGGGCGAAGGGATGTGCTAGAACGCGCGGGGATGAAGTACGGAACGCGCGGGGATGAAGTACGGACCGCGCATACACATGTTTATTTGCTTTTGTTTTTGTGTTTTGTCTTTCCTCGTGATAAGTTGCGATCAGAGCGACTTACTGTAGAGCACTTTCGAGGAAGCCACGGATGCGAGAGTGCCTGTAATCAGGGGGACAGTCCGAAACGAGAGTTAGGAACGACCAAGTGATCAAGATTACGAAGGGGCATGCGTGTGGAGGTTGCGAGAGGAGTCGAGAATGAAAATGGTGGAGATATTTTTTGCGTCCAGTAACGCAAAACAGCCAGTTGCGCCAGAGGTGCTCACATAGAAGAAGAAAGACAAAAATGACCCGATGCTTCTCCATCCTTTCGTGTCACTGATTTCGACCAGCAGCGAAGAGTAGTGGCTCATAATACTCTAAGCTAAGGGCTTCACGTCAACACAATCTGGTCAGTAGAAGGGGGGCTGATATAGTTATGTCTTCTCATTGGATCAGGGAGTGCCATTGAGTCAGACATTGGGGGCTCGGGTTGGGGGAGCACACGCATCTAGCCACTCAAAGTTGGCTGCATCTGCGTCCCCTGGCAGTGAACAGCGCCACTACAGTATTCTAAAGTAGGCTTGCCGCAACTAGCGGCTCGTAAGTAGGCCCGCCGCGAAGCGATCCGTACCATGAAGATCTGACATGGCCGTAAAAACAGAAATGATAATCTGAAGTTAAAGCCGGCGGCCCAAATTGTTCATGCTTTTAAAAGCTGACCAGAGGGAGTTTTTCTGGTGTGGGCTTTGGCGAGAGTTTCCGATTTCGTCTAGGTTCGTTTTTTTCGCGAGACCCAGCCAGCCCTCGGTTTTCCCCCTGGTGAGTGAATTTGTCTTCAACAGTCCCAAATTGCAAGTGCGTGACTTTCAAAAGCTTGGACACTCAACTTCGTCAAGCATTAAAAACTTGACCCTCGCGGCCCGCAATTTGGGACGCGGGTTTTAATACGGAGTGGAGACTCATTCAGGTGGCTCTTGCCCTGAGGGGATCGAGAAATGTTAGCAAAGTACACTTGAAGGCGTTTCGTAACTTAACAGTGGTTTGAATGAATGTGAAAGGGACCGCCCCATTTGCAGTCGAGAGGGCCGTGGCAGTTACATCACGATGTTGGTCGGTGGTCGAGGCGCGTCGTAACGGATGCTCGCGAAAAACTTAGCGAAAACCGCCTCTACAATCTCTGCGATTGTTCGTGCACCTTATAGAACCACTTGACTAAACATACTATCCTCCCTACAGACAGCCTCAATACGACAGCAAGTAGTAAGCGACAGTGAGGTACTATACATGCACACCACCAAATGCTGGGTACACGGATCATGCCAAACAATGGCAAGCAGATTGAATCAACTTGCAATTCAAAACTGCTATATTTTTTTAGCAGAAAAACGAAATCTCATGAGTGGCATGGGGAAGGCGGACATTAGCAAAGTTTACATATTGTTGGGAACAATAAGGCTTAAGCGCCTCTGTCGTGTCGAAACTCAGGACACAAAGCGAAGCAGTTCAAATCGAAGCATCGCGAGTCAACCCTCGGAGGTTAGGGTAACCGCCCGGAGGTTACGCGAAGGTCAAAGGTCAGCGACCTTTGACTTTACAAATACAGCGCGACAGCAAGGACACACAACTGACTCGACATTGAGCAGTTGCCCGAGTCACACTGTATCGAATCGCAACAGCCAAGTAGTTTAATTATATCTATTCGTATTCCTTGTACTCTTATATAACGCTTTGTATTTGCTTGTTTCAATAAACTTACTTTGCCCTCACATACCAGCGCAAGGTGGTTCAATGACTTTTCATTCAACGCTTCCGCTATTACAATCTTACTCAGACTTAAACTCTACAAAGATCCTAGGGCACCTCAGCCCAACATGGTATGAGAGCAGTTAGAGTTTAAAAGTTATTTTCCTTTTCACACTCATACAAGAAGACATGTCTACTAGGAAGGAGAGGAGCTCATCCAACGGTTCCCCAGGCACTACTCCTACTCCACCTCCTGTCTCTAGCCTACAGACAGAGGAAGGGACTGTTGAACAAGGAATGAAATGACTAAGAATGAAATGAGTACAGATATGGAAACCTAGAAATGTGTACCCCCCATAGGCTAACCCACTGTAGCCTAAACAACTACAACAATATATATAATGTTTGACACACCCCCATAGGCGAAGTGGAGGAGAACTAGGGGTCACAAGACCAGTCAAGCAAAGCAAAGCAAGCTCAGGGTGGATCACAATGTCACCACACAATCCGAGCACAAGTTCAAGGCCACAAGGCCAGTTCACATGCAGGAGTACAGATATATATAAGACTAAACAAGCAAGAGCAGTGATATATATATGCATCAGTACAAAGAAGGTCAAGAGGAGAGCAAGTGAGGCAAGACAGACACAAGACCCAGCTGGGTACAGCAGCGCTGATGATCACAAGGCGCAAGTGCCTTGGTGAAAACATCAGCAGTGTTGGCCTCAGAGGCCACGTACGCAAGTCGCAACTGACCACGCTGCTGTAGCTCACGAGCAAGAAAGTAGCGGAGAGCAATGTGCTTTGTTCTGTGCTCGAGTCTCTGCTCT